TTGAGATGGAGTTTGGCTCTCTGTTGCCCAGGCTGAAGTGCAGTGGTGCGATCTTGGCTCACTGCAACCTCTGCCTCCCAGTTCTCACGATTCTCCTGTCTCAGCCTCCTGAGTAGCTGGGGTTACAGGCGCCTGCCACTACACCTGGCTAATTTTTGTATTTTAAATAGAGATGGGGTTTCACCATGTTGGTCAGGCTGGTCTTGAACTCCTAACCTCAGGTGATCTACCCACCTTGGCCTCCCAAAGTGCTGGGATTATAGGCGTGAGCCACCATTGCCCAACTGTAACTTAGTCTTTCTGAGCCTCAGTTTCCTCATGAAATAGGAACGATAATAAGGGCTAACTCATATGGATGGTGTTACGATTAAATTATATATTCCATATAAAGTGCTCAGCAAATAATCTGACACACAGTTGGTGCTCAATGAACATTAGCTATTACTGAGTCAGGGTCTTGCTCCGTCCACCTTGGCTGGAGTGCAGTGGTGCAATTATAGCTCACTGCAAACTCAAACTCCTGGGCTCAAGCAATCCTTCTGCCTCAGCCTCCCAAAAGGCTGGGATTATTAAGAGTGAACCACCATAACTGGTCGGCTACTATTATCAACATCATCACCATAGTGTTCCGAATATATATTTGTTCCAGACTTATTTTTGGTTTCTAAAAAGTATTGTGCCATGGGAGACTGTGAAGAGGAAGAATTGTTCCTAAATACTGAGAGAAAAGCTTCAAGCTGATTTTTGAACGTGGTCTAAGGATACATTTCTCAATTATATCAGATAATAACCACAGGATGTCAGTGCTAGATGTACCCTATAGACCAGTTAGCCACAATCTTAATTTTACAGACAAGCAAACATTGGCATTTACCTGTTAGTTTATTGCAATTTATTCATAGGCCAAACAAATGTCACCCTGGCAATTTATTCTAGAATTTCACAAAATCAAGTTTCTAGAAAGACCAGTAATGTGCGTCTGTAAGTATATAATGTATATGTGTTTATTATAAATTTTACTGATATAAAGAATATATAGCACACAATATACAAATTATAATAAGATATGTAATACTCTTTATTATAATTTCATAGAACCAGTTGAATCTTACAAAATGCTCATGATTTTGGAAAATTCACATGAGCACGTGACTGTATGCTTGCCAGGAGTGGACAGGGGTACTGGAGAGCTTTTGGTATATTTTGCTATTGAAAAAACAAGTACGGATGGTGTAATTTAGCAACTGATAAGTTTCAAGTAATAAGACTTTAGGTAAAGAAAAGTTAAGAACCTTTTTTTTGGGTGGGGGGCAGTCAAAGGAATTTTGAGTGCTCTATGTTGTTTATTCCTTGTAGTTAGGGGCCTTCTTTTTGGTTGGGGGTGGTGGAGGTAGACAAAGGAATTTTCAGTTCTCTAAGTTTACTTTTTTTTTGTTTTTGTTTTGAGACGGAGTCTTGCTCTGTGGCCAGGCTGGAGTGCAGTGGTGCGATCTTGGCTCACTGCAACCTCTGCCTCAGCTTCCTGAGTAGTTAGGACTACAGGCATGTGCCACCATGCCCGTATCTTAGTAGAGACGGGGTTTCGCCATGTGGGCCAGGATGGTGTTATTCTCCTGACCTCATGATCTGCCTGCCTTGGCCTCCCAAAGTGTTGGAATTAGAGGTGTGGACCACTGCACCCGGCCTTGTTTACTCTTTAAAGTCAAATGCAGCATATTTGATTCTGGCCTGGGCCCTTCAGCACTCTTTGCAGGGTGCACTCATTGAAGCTTCTGACACCAAACCAGAAGCCATCTACCTTCTGCTTTAAATTGAAGCCAGTGGGGAAACTGGCATCAAAACAGGGAATTCGTCTTCTGATCAGCTTTGTCAGAATGTATCAATTCCATATGTTAATGGAGAGAATTTCTACCTCACAGATTTAAAGGATGGATTGGTGGGGACAAGGTGTGTGTGTGGGAAGCTTAAGTATATATTATGAGTTTTAGTAGCATTTTAAATTCCAAATAGAAGGTAAGAAAATACCTGTAACCACCTTATCCCAGTTTCAGGATTGGGGACACAAAATATTTTAAGGCCCCTACACACAGTGCTCAGAGGTTGATTTGGACTAGTGCTCCTTACCCTCTGACTCTTCGGAATCCTCTGGCAAGGTTAAAAAGAAAAAAAAAAAGCCTGGCCCATCCTTAGAGAGATTCTATTTAATTGTTCAATGGTGGGGCTCAGGAGGTACCCCTCTTTTTTTTTTTTTAACTCCCCAGTGATTCTGATGATCAGGATTGAAAATCACTGATTTAGTCATCTGTTTTAGTGTCCTTTGTCATTAAAAAAATTTTTTTTTGCTAACAAAATTAATTTATGTATTTTCCCACTGGTAAAAATGCAAATGAAAAAGTCAGGTAGCTAGAGGGAGGCTAAAAACAACTACAGGGTATGGATATGCATAAAGGTTTATGGGTGGATAGTTTAGGGCTGAGAGGACCATGAGGTAAAAAGACATCAACACTTTCTCTCTTTTGGATGTTTCAGATCCAGGAAGTCTTAAAGCTTACTTTAGGTCACGAACAATTCAGACTGAAATGGGTCAGCTTCGAAGTGAACAAAAAGTAGCACAATTCTACGGATACGCAGTTTCCCTTTCATTCAATCTTCTCTGGATTTTGGGTAAATTATAATTTTTTAATCCCTAGTAGAACAAGATTAGGAAGAACTCAAGATGTGCCAAAAAGCGTAGACCTACAACTAATGCAAAATAAGACTACACATGAAACCTGCACCCCTGGATTTTACAGAATGAAACAGGGATACAGGAGAAGACGGGTGTATTTGGGAACAATCAACCTGGGAATGACAAATGAACTTCTATTAAGAATTTAAAATAAAAAACCTGAACTAAACAACAAAAATCCTGAAAACAACCCCATTAATCTAACTGAAGAAGTACGGAGGATAGTAGTGGTCTAGGAAGCTAAGTGGGGCTACACTTCCTAATAACCAGAGGAAACTTTACCTGCCACAAGTTACTAAAGAGATTTCAAATTCTGCAGAATTTGAAAGTAACAGCTTTATCACAATACATGTTAATACTATTTATTTGTCCTAAATTGAAATCTTATTACATGGAACTTGGGAAATGCTAAGACAGACTGTTCTTAATGTTAAAATATATCTTCAGAATAATCTTCTGTTATATGTTTCATTTCTCATTTCTTTCCAAGTGTCCTTGTCACCCAAGTGCATGCTAGAAGACAGCAATATGTCAAATATAGTAGCAACTTTAGTCTGAAATGTTTAAAGTTAAAGTTTATTTGTAGTCTTTGTAGGAATAGCAATAAAAGACCTCAAACGTATCTATATCTGTACATGTACAAGAACCATCAAAAATTATTCACAGAACAAAAATAAATCTTCTTTAGAACAAACCCAGGTAATGAAATGCAGATACGGATCTCACATATGGAACAATCTAAATGCTACTAGCACAAAAATATGGCTTTAAAAATAAAATAAAATCTTGGGTTTTGTTTTTCTAAGGTGTATTTCTCTCTCTTGAAATAAAAAATAAATTATTTAGAGCTATCATTGTAAAATAGTAGTGTGTTAACACACTCTTATTAAGGCCCTGGAGATGAAAAACAAAATCAAATTTAGAAGGTAAATTCCTCACAGGTGTAACTCAGGTTAATGTGCTGCTGTCTGCTTAAGTTAATATAACTAGGAAAGGTCTAAGCACCAGTCAAAATTTAACCTAATTTACTATTTAACTTTTCTGAAGGTGGTCATTGAGTCAATTAGTATTTAACCTTTTATTGAACTGAGAATTGAAATGTTTCCCTTGAAAGTTTGGAAATCATGTAAGATGTATTTATACATAAATATCTGTACCCCCACATAGATGATGGAGGTCTCTAAAACACAACTTCTGTGGAAATCTCTCTATAACAACAAATAAATCTGGTTTTAAGTCCCAAACTAAAACAAAACAAAACAAGAAACAAAAAAACCCAACCTTCCTAGGGTTAAATGAGGGTATTTAAATGAAAAATAACAACTGAGTAGGAAATTAAAATGTATGCTGAATACGGGCAAAAACTACCATTTTCCTTTCCTTGGGTGGCTCACTGCATTCCCCAAGTCTTGCTGTGTTGGGTACTCAAACACCTGAGGCTTAACTGATCAGGAACTGAAACTACTTATTTTTGGATCCTACTCTCAGATCAGTGATACTCAACTTTATTTCTATGATTCCCCATGGTATCAATAATGATATCTAGGGTTCTTGAGACAATGCCAAACCAAATCAATTTCAAGTCACTTTAACGTATATATACATATAACACATATAGTACATTTTTAAGGATGAATCTAGAATGACTGTCATAAAAGCTAACAAGAGCATAAAATCTGAAAATCTCAAAATTTGGGAATCACTAGTCCATAAAATGGATTAACATTCAGAAAAAGGAAGCCCCAGGAGTTGTGTTTTGTGTGGGTGTGTGCATGTGTTGTCTACAGAGTCTGCCTTTCTATGTATCTACGTATTTTCAGAGTGTGCAAAGGACAGAAATCTTCCCGTTTCCTTGAAACTCTGGGCTACTGAGGAGACTGCTGATGCATTTGTTTCCTTATGGTCAAGTCTCTTCCTAAGGTTCTTTCACTCCTCCTAAGATACTTATTCTATCTCATGCAAATTTCATCACTTTTGTCCTTCCTAAACCCAAGAGTATACATAATTGGGTCATGACAACAAGAATGCCTCTAGAACTACACACAATCATTCAAACATGAAAAGAGATTCTATTTAAAAATTCAACACTCCTTTCTTGCTTTTAAGAAACTAAGTCCTTCAACTGGCATATTGAAAAAACAAAGTATCCCAAATTACTGGCCCCCAGGTAAGGGGTAGGAAGGCAATATTTACTGCTGGGGTAAGCAGGAGATTTCACTATTAGACTTGAAAAAGGGGGGAATGGAGAAGAGAGCCCTTTAGGCTTTCCACAGTTGACAGGAGAAGATGGAATTCAAAGGTGTAGCTGAAAATGCAGTGAAGCTGTGACATGTGGCTGTTGGGTTTGGCCCAGTGACAAGTCGAGTCTGGTGTCAAGCTTGCATGGGGCTCAAGGTCACAATGGAGTAGACTACGGGACTGACGTAATCCTGAAGAGGGTTCCTTTCCCAAGCTCAGTCCCATAACCAGCCTTCTCAGGAACTCCGGGCTAGAGATAACTAAACCAGCCCTCGAGGAAGGGGAAACAAATACTAATGCAAACTCACCTGATGGCAGTTATTTTGCTCTGGGACTTCCCAAGGAGAACTCTGCTCCCAATCTGGTATACCTCTGAGAACACAGTGAAAGCCAGGGGTCTATAGAGCCACAGACCCATAAATGAAGGCCCTGGGTAGACTAAGATTTGAAAAGCTTTACTTCCAAAGTCAAGCTCATTCTTAGGGGCATAGGTTAATGCTCACAGCAGTCTTAGGTAATCTTTCTTTTTCTTTCATAGTCTTAACACCATCACAGGGAAACACAGAAGCAGAACAGTCAGAGAAACCTAATTCTGACCAACTTGATACCATATGAAAAAAAGCAAAAAGCTATAGCAACATGATTACCTCACTTTTTTCTTACTGTTAGACTGCCAGAAACCCAAACAGTACCTTGGTGATAGTGCTTGGAACATAGCAAGTGCTCAAGTGCTTCTTATAGTTACATAGTTATAATCTCTCCTCTGACATGGCTTTTATTCAGAGACCCAGGGAATATGATGACCTGAAGGAAATGTGACTCTTTCTGCTGCTTCAGCTCAGATTGCTTATTGCTCCAGTAATATAAAAGGTAATAGGAATCTTTTTTAACTCCTACCAACACTGTCCTCATTAATGTTCAAGTCTGTTATCAGCTAGACAAGCACTTTACAAGCACCACCTGAATTCCAAATTCCACTCAACCCTGATGTATCCTGCACCCCACAATGTAGTGCTGTATTGAGGGAAACAGGAAGTGCAAGACATTGCTTTCTTAATCTATCTGCCTCTCTTCAGCCATGTACCTCCTCCTCTCAGCAAAGCAAAGTTATATACCTGTTTGAACTGAGGAAAAGCCAATAAAGAAACATCTCCATAAAAATTGTCACCTGTTGCTGGCTTCTCTTCTTAAAAAATCCTTCAGAGTAGGTTCTACAGATTGCAGCGTTCTCTAAAGAAATACTGAGAAAAATGTTTGGACAGGAGTGGGCTCACAGGATAATCTAACATTTAACGTCTGTCAACACCTCTGAACTTTCAGCTTACTTGTAACATTCTTACTGTTATTATTACTATTTTTACTATTTCTTTTTCATTCAAGATAATCTGGTAGTAGAGGGCTGCATAATCTGTCCAAATGTTTTGGGCATTAAATCTTCCAATGAAGAGCCCTCTAAGGAGCTCCCATGATGCTAATATGATACATTCTATCCATCAAAAGCATATTTGATTTTTTGGGGCTTCTTTCGATTCCCAATATAGGTAATTTTATCATCCCTCTGTAATCCATAATCAGCACTTAAGAGCTTCCCAAACTCAATGGCAAGACATCACCCACATTACATACTTAAGGTCAATGAAACTGACAGTTCTCTTACAAGGTTTTCTGTGGCACAACTGAAGGCCTTTACAAAGAATCAATTAAACATGGCTTGAGCTGAGAATAGCCGAAACAAGAACACATCTATGCTTACATTCTTCCTCCCCCAACAAAGGGCACTTCAGGACAGTTACCTCTTTTTCCTAATAAAATGAGTGATTTTGACCACAGTGTGCCTTCAGCTTGGAGAGAAGGTGTGAGAATTTGCAAAACAAATACCAAAGGTGAAGAAAATGCAAGTGTCAAAACAGCTGGATATAAAGTATGCACATCACATAAACACAATGAGAAGCTCCCATTTTAGATCTCTGTCTGGCAGAAACAGGGACTGCTATGAAATAGGCTGTTTTAAAAGGTTATGGGTTATGTGGCCATGGTGAGGTTGCTAAAATGTAAGGTTCATCACAAAGATCCACCTGAGAAAGGGCAGAGCTCAAGAAGTTGAAATGTAAGCCTGGGACTCGGTGAAAAGGAGGGCTTGGTGTCTGTCTGGGCATCACTCAAAAGACGGAACTATACACGTTCCCTTCTTCTCTTGTGGAGAAACGCTCACTTGATGCATATGGCTCCCTCAGGTTTTTTTTTCCATCCCCTTTTTCTAGAATAAAAATTCTTTAAAGCTTATAATTTAAAATAGACATAAACTTATTTGAGAAACATTGTTGCTTTCTCAATGTAAAACGACTGCTAAGATCTTGCTTAAAGAGGTTCAAGACCCTTTTAACATTATATCTGAACAGTATAGAAGGCATGAACTTTTCCTATTTGTGCAGTTATATGTACATATGTGTGGATATATATGTATATATATATATATATATATATATTTGTATATATAATGTCTGTTTAACATGTAACATTCCATACTTCTGGTAATCAAGGCTGCATTCAAGATGACAGTTCATACCTCTGGAAAAAAGGAAATGAATTAGTCTCCATGACTTTTTCTGTTCTGTAATCATAAAGCTATGGATGACAAAAGTTGAAATTGGGTCATTACTGACAGATCTACCAAGAGCATGGGAATAACAACTGGAACGCGCCATCCTGACACTTTCAATTTTTTTTTCTTTTTGAAACATGAGTAATCATCACTTTTAAGAGAGTGATGCTTCAGATTTGGATTTCCTTTCCTTACTGAGGGGATGAGGGGAAGAAGCACTTTAAAAGTTAAAGAGGGAGATAAAATTACCCTGTCTATAAATTTGCTAGTTGAATGGATAAAATCTTTATCCCAAACAAAAACTGTAACTTAACAAATAGAAAAAAATTTTTAATAGGAAATATTCAGAGATTCCAGCTATGGTATGGTTAGCCCTTTTCTGTATGGAAGAAAGGGTGTTGATCTGCATGGCTTATGGACAGCTATTTAAATAACCTCTCCAGGGGAGAGTAAACCCTGTTGGTGATGACAGCTCCCACCATGGGGAGGAAAGTGCAGTGAACATGTGAAGATGAAGATGGTACGTGGAGACACGAATGTTTATAGTTTTGTAAACTCTAAAGAGGAAAAAGAACACCCTTTATTACAATTGGGGTTAAAAAAAAAGCCCCTATCTAAAAGAGAAGATTCCCATCTGTTGTAGACAGAGGAAATAAACATATTGACAGGAGTTCAATCAAAATTACTCCTAAAGTCCAGTTTTGAAGCAACAGCTTTTGTCTGTGTCCTCTGAAACAGTGAATCCCAAATCAGATTAGCTGTCCAAACAGAACCAGTCTTGGTTGATCAGTGGAATAAATTATTGTTTTGTATGGATCTTGGTATTTGCATGTTTTCTGAAAGGACAAGGGGGCCAGAGTGGGGTTTTTAAACTAGTAGATGAATCCCTGAAAAATTCATTCTGACAATGTCCTATTGCACACCATGTGCTTCTATCAGATAGATGCTTGGTCTCTACCTACTGAACCCACGGGCTCATGTCTCACTCATAGAACAGTTCCTACTTTACTTCCTCTAACAACTGCAGTGCTTTCAACAAGAGGAAAACAATAATAAAAATAGTAATAATCAAAAAGGTAATCTACATTATTAACTTCCTTTTGGTATATTACAGTGGTATTTTCTGTACATGGCCCAGAACTAAGTTCCCTATGTACATAGAGATGTGGGGGAAAAGCATTGACCTTGGAAGTCGTCGCCTTATGCCCTGAAAGACAAGGTTCCTTTCTTCATTCAAGAGTTTCTCACCACATTGCCATTGTGAAGTAGCAACATTCTGTAAACCTGGAGGGGCTAGGTAAAGGTCTGGGAACAGGAGAGTGGGTCAATTTCCTTCGGTCTCCTTCCACAGTCTGTCTATTCACAAAGCCCGTCAGCAGCTGCTGTTTTTGAATTCACCATTCTCCGTGATGGAAAGCTTGGTGGGGTTGGTGGGGGAAATGCCATTGCGGACCTGCATGCTGTACCGCTCCTTCACTTGGGTCAGCGCACTCATCAGTCTGGTGTTGGCTGAATCCAGGGACACGATCCGTTTTTCCTACAACATACCAATCATGGCTTTATTCAGGCTACAGGTAGGAGATAACATGCTTTCTTTACTGAATGACTAGTCCAGTGCTTTCTGTCAAACAGCTGTATGCATGGTGCTTCCCAGACAAATGGAACGTCTCTGCCTCTTTCTGCACACTGGTCAGGTTCAGCTTCCCCTGAGCCCAATGGGTCTCTATTTTTTGTCTCCCTCTCTCTCTCTTCCTTTCAGCACAGCAGGACTTTTTATTAATAATCTCTTGGGACGTTAGGTTGTCATATAAAAGTGATACCACATGTTACTTCAGACTATGCAACAGAGGTATCAAGCTGCCTTACTATACTAAGTGCTTTTGGTCAAAATTGAAACATGGAAATTAGGTGGCAAAGAAAGAAGCACCAGAGGTTTCATTTCACAGAGGAGAAGAGCATGTGATCTATGGGTTCTTGGCTCCAAAAGAGGGCGTATCAGTCACACTTGGAAAGAATTCACATTGTGCTCAAAATTAAAACAATACATGGTGGCAGTGTAGAGTCACCAACAAGGTGAGGATGCAACAGCAAGAGGGGAAATAAGCAGCCGAAAAGCTCAGACCAAGGAGTTACTTGAATATGGGGAGGGAGATGTGGCCGAAAAGGGAATGCCATCAACATAACACATGAGAACAAACAGAGAACACAGGCTCCTAGACCCATTCCAGCTCAGAGTTACTCCAGGAGGGCTGCCCAATACAGAGATTGCTTTCACTTTACTTTTGAGTCTCTGAAAAAAAAAATGCTTTAGAAACAATATTTGGAAACCAAGCATTGTTGACTATACACATGCAAAAACCAAGGGGGAAAAAATGGGGGGAAAAAGGCAATCTAACTAAAGGAAAATAGGACTATCTAAAATTTTTTAATAAAATCATTTTATCAAAATGTTATCAGTCTTATAAAGATTAGGAAAGATACCCTAATCTTAACTTCAGCAGCTCAGTAAATCATTTCAGAACCTTTCTAACATGAAGTCCATAGTTTTTATAAAACAGCACAGAAAACAGTCTTTACCTATGCCTATAAAATTAAAAAGAAAATAACAAACGAGGAACCACCCCAAAGCCAAAAGGAACTTTATGACCCTAGGGGTTTTTAAAATTGACCCTGAGAAAAGCATGATAAAGTTTAGCACGGTAAAGTTCAGAGAGGAGGTAGCAGGGCTGATGGCTAGTGCCGCTCCTTACTATAAAAACAGCAGCTACCCAGGGCTGCCATGTAGTGCTGCACTTTGGGACACATGCTGCTGGGAGCATGCAGAGTGAAGACCATGGCCCTCGGAAAATCTAGGTAAAATCACATACCACCACGGCATCAAGCAATACTTCCCTTTACTCTCCTGCTTCCTGGGGGCAGGACAGTAGGATCTGTGAGACAGCAGTGCTGGTTGTCACAGTTTCAAAAGCACATTAAAAAAAGAAACAACAACATACCAGCTCTTGCTTGTCATTATCACTAAAAAAAAATCCTTCTTTCCCTGATGGAGAACTCATGTGGTAAGATATACAAAATCAATGATTAACGAGCCATTCATCTAGTATAAGATGCTTTCTGTTTTGGGAAAGTAATTCATTTTAAGGACATGCAAAACTAAAGAGCTGCAAGGCTTTTTAAAAATAAAAATTATTTAAAAAATTACAGCCAATGAAGTTTACTAGGATAACAAATATAGATCTTTCAAAAGCCAGTAGGTAAGAACTGGCCAGTGAATACTAGAAAACAGGAGATAAGCGCTAAATATGATATTCCCCCCCTCCACCCCCATTATTAGGAATGATCTATCTCTAAACTGAGTAACTAATAATTTCTTGAATGACTAAAGAAAAGATATTTCAGAATTGGGATTAAATTATAAAGTCTAAATACTAAGGACATTAGGATTCTGTAGGGTTCACCCAAAAATAAATCAGTCCTTCATGAAAAATTTGATTTTTAAAGGGTCAAAAAGAAGGCTAAGAATGACTATAATTACTTATTGCCTAAAAAGGTAACAACTGATGCCAAACAACGCCCCTACTAAACAGCTGAAAGTTTCCACATAAAGAAATTTCCTTTATAATTCCTCCTACTGCCAACCTCTCAAAATAAAACAAAAATGTAAAAAAAAAAATCAATTAGAGACTTATGAAAGTCAAGTTCAGTTGGCAAAAGATGCTCTGACATTTAAAGTCTGCCTGGATTGTAAGGGAAAGCAATCTAGTCCATGCCTGACAGGAAGGATTTCCATGTGGGGAATGGCAGGAGCTGGAATGTGTAGGAGGCCAGTGCACTGGGCCAGGGCTGGGAACTGCTCAGCTAGAGAACGGACGCAGGGTTTACTTGCCTGTTTGAATAATCTCATCTCCATTTATGACCTGTAATTTAACACAGCGGAGATATCACTTGCAACAGTAACTAGGCAGCTGCTTTGCTTCTCATAGGAGGAAGCTTTTCTCTGTTCTCCACCTGAGTCACATAGAGAGATTCTGGAGCCACAGTGTCTCCTCACGGTCAGGGGTGAAAGGTGGCACATTCTCTGGTCTGCTATTTAAGAAATGGATCCTTATTACCATCACTAGGATCCTTATGGAGAAGCTACAAAGTCTAGGACAGGTGCTTCTGCAACTCACCAAAGGAGTGCTCATCCTTTTGCAGTTCCTGTTAGAAAGTGGTGGATGCAGGCCTGTGCTTTGTAGCATGAAATGACTCAGGGAGAAGCAGAGGTTGAATTCAGGGACAAGATTTTCCTGGTGGGGGCAAAGGGCTACTGAGAGAGATGAAAACCAGTTCACTGGGCACCTGGCTGGTAGTATTTTGGGAAGTGTTGACATAAAAGTTATGAGTTACTTCTCTGGGAAGCTTTCTCCCCAAACATGTCTTCATTCTATTAAATGACGCCAGAAGAGCTGCTCTGCTCCCTCATTCACTTAAGAGATAAGATTCATCCTTACAAAAGAAAGGATCTGATATAAAAGTCATTCATTACAAAGAACACCAAAGGATATTTAAAGTCTTTTGTTATAATAAGATCTGAATGTATCAGTAAGCCAACACCTGGAATTGAGAAACATTCCTTTTAAGGACACTGTAATTTTTTAAAATTTAACTACAGTGTTTAGGATTTGTGCTATGCACGGTGCAGAGGTTTTCCGAATATAGTTGAGTGGCTTATCCCAACTATTCTTTAGGGATCCGTAGTGGGCCTCTGGTAGAATAATTTATTATATAGTAACATCTGTGTTTGAGTAGGCAATTTACTATATTTAATCAATCCCAGTATGATTTGATTCATTAGTTGAGAGTGGTCCTTGCTGTTGAGTGGTTAATGGAAGCAGTTGGATATTCATCTATGAACGGTCCCTTGATTGTATCAAAATAGTCCAGAGAACCAAACCATTTCAAAACCAGTGTCTTGAAGTACTGACTCAAAATATTAACTAGCTTAGCCAGACCACCAGTCTGACAGTTTGAGGATAACATTTTTCCCATTCCTCCATATGACACCCTCCTGGTTAATTAAGAGAAAGTTTGTACTTTCCAGAGCATTTGAGCCCTAATCAATGAGATTCCCTCCCTGGCTTTTACCTTCTATGCCTAGCAGGTGACTTCTGCTTTATACTCAGTTGCCTAGCCCTAATGTCAAATTAGGGGATACGGTAGAAATCTTCAGGAGCTAATCATGAGGCTGTCCTGTTAGCCTGGGTACAGAACCACAATTGTGGCACACCCAAGCTCCCACTGCTTAAGACTATTACTTTTTTTTTTTCACGACAGGGTCTCATTTTGTTGCTCAGGCTGGTGGGCAATGGTGCAAATATGGTTCACCACAGCCTTGACCTCCTGGCCTCAAGCTATCCTCCCACCTCAGCCTCCCATGTAGCTGGGACTACAGGCATGAACCACCATGTCTGACTAATTTTTTGCAGTTTTTGTAGAGATGGGTCTCATCATGTTACCCAGGCTGGTCTTGAACTCCTGAGCTCAAGCAATCCGCCTGCCTCAGCCTCCCAAAGTGCTGGGATTACAGGCGTGAGCCACCTTGCCTGGCCAAGGCTGACACTTTTAAACCAGTTGAAATTATTTAAAAAGTCTGTTCTATCTCAGTACTACCATCTCTCCTGGTGCGGTTATTAATAGAACTCTCCTTGCTTTAGATTGTTACATTAAAATTTCCAAAGTGAAAATCTATCAACATTAGTTTTCCTGACTCAATTGCCTTATTTATCCAGGCAGTTTTTCTTAAGTCTCTGGGATGAATTTTTGTAGTATGAATAGTGAGATGGCTTCGTCTCCACTACCCTTACTTCACCTACCCTGGGGACATCTAAAAAGATTTCTTTCAAAGGACCAAGTAAGATAATTACTACAGACCTTTCTTCTGATTCTCAGCATGTCTATGTATCCAGAAACTATAGAGTTCAAGAATTCAACATATTTTAAGGAGCTCTGCTGATGAGAGAGCATCATCACAACTCTCACTTGACTTCCAAGTCTAGTGTGTTTAAAGTGTGAGGCCCATGAAGCATTCTTTCCATGACTGTGCTTTCAGCCTCACTCTCAATTTTGTTGAAAAATAAATCCCATTTCACATGGACTCTGTAAGGAAACTAGACTGTTAAGTACATGTTTAAGAATACTGAGGGCTCTAAAATATGTTGATTACTAGCTGATACCTAGAGAAGGGAGTAGGCCATCTATGCATAAAATCCTTGCTCTTTTTTTTTTTTTTTTTCACAGTTTAGGGATATGATACGGTATTTAAGGTTGAAAAAATGCAAACCTGGATAGGCTGTCTTCAGGGAAGCAATACACCCAGTGGCTAGATCAGCCACTATCAAAACTATCAAAACTGTACCTGCTTTTTGTTATTTGTTTCACTCTAAGAAATACAACCACATTTTGCAATGATAAAATAAAATAAAAGGAGTTAGAAATATTTCCTGCCTCTTGGATTTTGCTCTAATCATTGACGTGTCCCTATGAGGTGCTCTTGGCAGCCTTTATCTCTTTGGTGTCACAGGTGTAAGCTACAGTGAGCAGAAGCCTAGGTTCTGATTTCAACAATCCTGTCTTTTTTTTAAAGTGTTATCAAAAGATGCTCTCTAAGCACAGCACCAACAAAGAAGAGCAGCCAAGCACATTCCAAGCAGCAATGCTAAACCCTGAACCAAAACAATAACAAGGAAAGGTACCTTTTTACAACCTTGTCTTTCCCCGGCAATTCCATTACTGTCTGGGGCAAAAGGTTGATGGCAGTGGACGTGACTGACAAGACCGTGAACAGCACAGCCAAGCAATGGTCAGTGGAGGTCACAAGCCAGACACATGCAGTGCACTTTTCACAATTACTCCCTTAGAAAATGCCCTCCTTTCCATAAGGAAAGAAGCAAACCCCATCATGCACTAGGTTGAGATGTGTCAAGCAACTGCAATAAACACGCGAATACTTTGCTGAGTAAACAGACTTGTCACCAGTGAAAGAAAGCAAAAGTAATGGAGGTCACACAGACACTCATTTAGTCTTCAAAAGGTAATGTCAAGAACTTTTCAATGACCCATTTCTGGTAACTGCCTTGGCATTTGCAAGGGTGAGAAGTCAGGAAATAATTGTTGTTATAAACAAGTGCCTTCTATTAGATTCAAAACCTGCTTACCTGTGCATCGATTATTTTCTGCTTTGCATCAATAACTGCTTGCATCTCAGCATGATCCTTCTTCAGTTCCTCTTCCACAGCCATTAGCCTAGAATGTGGCAGGAAGGAAATATCAGCATCTTCAAAGAGAGAGCTAGCTAGTGTAGAGAACAAGAAAACTCAAAATTCAGCACAGTCAATATTCTGTCCTTCCTAATAAGACACCTGCAACCACCTTTTCTTTCTTCTCTGCCACCTTGGAAGAAGACATCTAAGGCTGATTTCTCTCCTTGTGCCTGGATCCCATACATTTGCATCTCCTTTGGACAGTAACCCCATAATCATTTCCTCCCTCTTCTCTCTCAGATTCCTTCCTGAGCACAACTTATTTCACCTTAAAATATCAAACCAAGCAACAAAAACCAAACAACCCTCTCTTAATCTCAAGTTACCCTAAATCTGGCCCACTTTCTCCTCCCTTGCACAGCTACGTTTCCTCAGTGAGTACTATACACTTAAATGTCTAGTTTGTTTTCTGTCCGCCATTCCCATTTTAACTCACTGATGTTTAATTCTGCCAGTCTACCTAAACGCCTTTCAGAAAGACTGTCAATTACCTCCACACTATTAAAACAACAAACAGTTGTTTACTTGACCTGTCCATAGCACTTTACAAATATTGAGGCATAGTGGTTATGAGCATGGAATCTGCAGTCAGATTGCTTGGATTCAAATCCTGGTGCATCACTATGTGACCTTGGGCAAGTGACTTAATGAATTTGTTGCTTATTTGTAAAATGAGAATAACAACAATGCATAGTGGAGGCTGTGATCAAGATTAAACAAACTATTATGTGTAAAGTGCTTAGAAAAGTATGTGTCCTATGGCTAGTGCTATGTTAAGTGTTTGGTAAAATTGACCCCTCCCTTATTTTCCCTTGGCATCTGTAGCACTCTCAAAAGATGTCCTCTGGCCCCAAAGATATTCCATAAAATTCCTTTCCATGTTTCTGGACTCATTTTGAAAGATTAATTTGGTCTAAGGCATTGGATATTTACTTTTTTTTTTTTGAGATGGAGTTTCACTTTTGTTGCCCAGGCTGGAGTGCAATGGTGTGATCTCGGCTCACTGCAACCTCCGTCTTCTGGGTTCAAGTGATTCTCCTGCCTCAGCCTCCCAAGTAGCTGGAATTACAGGTATGCGCCACCATGCCCAGCTAATTTTTTGTATTTTTAGTACAGACGAGGCTTCTCCATGTTGGTCAGGCTGGTCTCAAACTCCCGAACTCAGGTGATCCACCTGCCTCGGCCTCCCAAAGTGCTGGGATTACAGGTGTGAGCCACCATGCCCAGCCTGATATTTACATTTTTAAAACCCAGTTTTCCTCTAAGATTTCTCAAGTAAACCACCTAGCATTAATGTTTTCTAATTGTTATGGTTAAAGACAAACAGATTATCTTTATCTTCACAGGAAGTGCCAAGGTCTCATATTCAGGATATTTTAAGAGATACAGTCAATCAACACATTTGTACTGAGTACCACAAGGATAAAAATGGCTTTTGCTGCCATTCCTTCAGGGTTCTGTGGATCATCTCCTTAATTCTTTGTCTTCCTAACTAGCCCATATCTGCTGCCAGGTGATGTCTAACCTGCTGATGATGCTTTTCATCTGGCTATCTTTCTCTTCCTGCTGTCTTCGGAGCCGCTCCTCGCTGTCCTCCAGTCGGGCCTTGTATTCCAGCAGCAGCTTCTGCATCTGCTGCTCCTGCACCAGCAAGCGGCGTTCATATTCCTCCAGTCGCCGGCTGGACACTCTCAGGCGCTCCTTCAGTTTAGTAATTTCTTGTTCATACTAGGGCAGAGGAGGCAAGGAGAGAAAAACTGGAGTTACACTGCTTTTAGAAATTAGTGATTTATTTATTTATTTAACAAAAGAAACCCTAAGCAATGTAGCTAGACGCTGGCTGTGCTGTCATTCCCTATACTGTTCCTAATATTCTTCAAAATTATCAACTCACATAAATGCTAATGGAGGATTGCCTTCCTCACTAAAATTACATTTTTAATCTTAACTTGGCATTGAAATTCTACATATGTATGTATCTCCCTCTACACTAAGCTACCATTGCTGCAAGCCACATCCAATCTGTGATGGCATCAAATGAAAGTGGGCAAAAATCAGATGGAGTACTTTAAAGTCTGACATATCACTTAAAATAAGCCAAAAGTCAGTTGTGTACAAGAGAAAAAGATTCTGCATCATTATCTGCACTGTAGGATCTCTGACATGTTTTAGCTCATCGGACTGCCATTCCTTTGTTCTACTAGAATCAGCCCTTTAAGAGAACAAGCAACATTTCTATAATGTTAAGCTCCTAAATCAATAAATAAACTTTCATGGCAGAGGTTATTGCTGCTTTCCAGTCACAAGCACTAAACAAAGGCCTACATGTTCTCCAGGGCTGATTAATATTGCTTCTTGGCCCATTTTCACAATATGACTCACCTGCCCAATTTGGTGCTGCTTGCTGGAACATACGTGTCTGTGTTCTCACTAAGAAGCTTTACATAAACTCAGTGACTCAATTAGTTACATGGCCCTTTCCTGTACTGTAGTTGCTGTGGCTGGGGTTTGAGTACACAGGAATATCATGCTGATAAAAAGAAGCTAATTGTCTGGTTGACAAACAATATAATGCTATATATGATATCCAGGTTCTTGTTTGATAACCCCTCTTCCCCATGTCAACTTTTTGTTAAAAAACAAAAACAACAACCTCTAAACAATAGATAATGTCCTTTTAACAGTCATCTATAGAGCTATACATTCATTATGCAGAAAACGTAAAAAAAAACTAAAACCAAAACCAAATTGTTACCAAGATAAAGAAGTCTTGGCCGGGCGCGGTGGCTCAAGCCTGTAATCCCAGCACTTTGGGAGGCTGAGGCGGGTGGATCATGAGGTCAAGAGATCGAGACCATCCTGGTCAACATGGTGAAACCCCGTCTCTGCTAAAAATACAAAAAATTAGCTGGGCATGGTGGCGCGTGCCTGTAATCCCAGCTACTCAGGAGGCTGAGGCAGAATTGCCTGAACCCAGGAGGCGGAGGTTGCGGTGAGTTGAGATCGCGCCATTGCACTCCAGCCTGGGTAACATAAGTGAAACTCCGTCTCAAAAAGAAAAAAAAAAAAAAAGTCTTGCCCTAGGGTAATTTTGTCCTTGGGTGAAGACCAACAAGTTTATAAATACATGAAATACTTACCTAAAATGACAAGAAATGAATAGCAGAGTATCCCCTTGATTAAGGCATCTACATTAAAAGAAAAATAGTAGCTAACTGCCACCCCCCAGCAAAATGAACATTTTCCATGTATACACACACACACACACACACACACACACACACACACACACACCACAGATCTGTTTTACAGAGATATGTATAGGACAATTAATATAAGGGGTAGAGGTGAAGATGGGGTGGGAGGAGTTTATGTTCTTAGCTAGATAATTCTTTTAGTGGCCTATCATTTGGGGATCAGTAAGTAGATGAAGTGGACTAGGTTCTACCTTCTCAGCATGCTTGGCTTCATCTTGATTTTGCTCAGTTTCTTCCACATCCTCTTCATACTGCCCATTGTTCAGAACCCAGGCTGCTGTTCTCTCTACTGGGGACATGGTGGCAGAGTCCACAGGTGACTGAACCTGAATCAGGAACAGTTATTAGCATCTCACCTAATAGCTCACCCACATGCTATGTTTCAAAACAGCTATTCTTAGAAGACGTTAACTGTGATCTCTCAGTTTTCTAATAAATGCTCTTAGCTTTAAGTATTATTTTACTAACGCTAAGGCTAGGGGTGGGAAAAGAGAATATCCATTTGTATAAGTGCAAACTATTCTGAATAGAAAGTTGTATACATCATACCCAAGAAGCAGCTTTATTCTCCCTCTAAAGAAAGCCAAAGGCCTTAAAATTGTTAATTTGCCCAGTGGCCCAAATGCTGGTAGGTAACATATTGCCTGCGAAATTAATAAATGATCTCTGCCATAAAAGTCTTTTATGCCATAAAATTCTATTGATGATAAAATAAGAGAAAGAAAGCTTAACTTGATGGTCAAAACATCTGTTTAACCCAGAGACAATCAGAAATCAAAAAACTGATTTGTGCTAAACAAACTCACAAAGCGCCCATTTATATATCGGAATGCCAAATATTAGGTTGGTGCAAAAGCAATTGCGGTTTTTGCCATCACTTTTGTACCAATCTACTTAGTTTTCATATTAATAATTTAGAAAAAGATAAGGACAAGTGATATTGGTTATCTTTACAGAACACTGACTTTGTGATAGATTAAGACCACTCAAGAGTCCGTATACCAGAAAATTTCTTGAAAAAGGATCAAAATGATGGATACTGGGTAGTCTACCCAAGTTAGGATAGTTAGGTAAGTTGTCCTTTTCCAATACAGATACACAGGGTCAAAAATTCTTGACACTCAAGTAAGAGAGTTGCAACTCTGCTACTTAGTTAACTCACTTAATCTCTTAAATACTATTCTCCTAATCTACTGAATAGAAATAACATCAGCATCACCACCACCACCTAGCTCGATCGTATCACAGGGAGCTGTGAGGATAACATAATATATGTGAAAATTCTTTGGAAACTTCAGAGTGCTACAGAAACGTTAGATGTCAGTCATTACTATCTTTATGTTTCAAAAACTGGCACTATTACAGTTCATATTAGGCTACTGCACATTAGTCCTTTTTCCACAAACAATAGTGGAAATACACATTTTTTTTCCCTCTGTCATGCCTCAGAGAGAGACAGAGAGTGCGTGCGAGAGAGAGAGTGCAAAGCTTGGTATGTGAGTTAGCCTTTTATAATTAAATAGAGGGATTTGTATTTTGAGGACCAGAATTCTAGAATTTCATAATTGAAGGGCATTTTCTCTCCCATCACAGATATTACAACTGAAGGATCTTCATATCATTGTGAAATAGAACCCAGTTAAACTCTAAATAAATATTTTAAAAGAAGGGGTATTTTGATGAACTTGAGAGTGAGAAAGACCAGATTAAAAGATTGATTGCAGAGACTAAAAGATTATCAGAGATGGGTTGGGAGAGACTTTAAGACTTACACATGCAAAAGTAACACAGGGACATTTCTTAAAGGTGTGAAGAAGGATCTAGTTTAGCTGATTTACAGATTATAGATATATGTATCTATAAATATAGCTTCATGCCTAAATTTAGATTATAGATCTGTATCAATAAAAATAGCTTCATGGATGGATGTGTATAGTTTATATAAATAGACATGCACACAGTAAGCAGCTGTAAATGAACTTCTAGAAATTTCTTCTATAAAGCCATTTTCTCCAGTGGATCTAGGAACATAAACATGTCTTAAATTTCAGTAACTCTTAGTACTTAAAGTCTATTTCCATTATAGCATGTAGGTGTTTTTTATACTTTATTTTTGTATCACTTTCATTATTTTTATCATAACCACCTTATCACTGACAGAGTTGCTAATTTTGTCTTTTAAAACAACCATTATTTTTATTTTATATATACTAAATTATTTTATTTATTTATAAGTTCTGGGGTTCATGTGCAGGATGTGCAGGTTTGTTACACAGGTAAATGTGCGCCATGATGGTTTACAGCACCTATTAACCCATAACCGAAGTATTAAGCCCAGTATGTATTAGCTTTTTTTCCTAAAATTCTTCCTACACCCACTATTCCCACCCTCCCTGACAGGCCCCAGTGTTGTTCCCCTCCCTGTGTCCTTATGTTCTCATTTAAGACAACCTTCTTTTAGTTAGCTAAGCTCTTGTGCTAAGCAATATCAGTAAAATAGTAAGTCAGCTATTATATACATTTTAATATTTATAGGTATATTTATATTTTAATAGTTATATATCTTTCTAATTATTAAAATATTACATGATTAATTAAATAAGTACCTTGCATACATTAAAATAATTCTGAAACTCACACTTGTGGGAATACTGGCCTTTACGATATAGTATCATCTGTAAAAGTTAAATAATAACTGCACATATCAAAAGTTATTATGAGAAACAAATGAGATAGCATGTAAAAATTTGTAAACTGCAAGATACTTGATACAACGACACTATAGTTCTCCCCCTACTGGATTTTAAGATCAGAGCACAATAAATTGCTTTACTATTGGTAAATAAAATAGTAGTAAGGGTTTAAGTTTATATTTGATATATATGGACCTGGAAGGCAAAAGACTGTAGCATTGGGTCTTAAAAAATTAACAGAAAGTCAATATTTAAAGGAGAGAAATGACATTTTAGTTTTACAGACTGATCCCTTTAGCACAGAGGGCATGGAAAAGCTGCTTTTGTGAAACCAGGATTTTCCTATTCTATAGCAGTTTGAAATAAAGTAACACTAAAACTAATAACAACTTTACTGTTTGGAATTTGTTACTTGTTTATATAGTTAACAAGAGGTTGCTTAAATGAACTTACTTTCCCTGTGATTTGTTATGGGTAACTATTTGTCAAGTGCCCGTACATGCACTGCAAACTAATGGTATTCCTAAGAACATACCAAGGAGAGTTCTTGGCCCCTAAAAGCATATTAAACAACAACAACAACAGGAAACCACTTTAGGATAATCTAGGCTTTAACTGATAAGTGAGAAGTTGTACAATCAAGGGTTGGTTCAATCCACTGGTGACAGTGGTAGCTACAGTATCTTCAGAAAGACTAACATAATGGGCAATGAATTACAAGAAATTGTAATGGGAACTGGGCATTCCCAGTTTATTCCTATTTTATTGGTCAAATCTTATTTTCAGCCACTTCCTAATATATCCTAGCACTTTGCCTGGCATATAGTGGTGGTCAAAATAATAAAAATAAAAGTCACAAAACAGATCAATCCTAACTATTCCTTCTATTAATGATAAAACCTTCATAAAATTGTAAAAAGGCTGGAAAGTAATACTGAATAAATAAAAAATATTTATTGTGCTGGATTGAAAGGAAACAGGTGATTTTTGCTTCACAATTTTTTCTGTTGTAATATGTTCTTCAAATGAAAAAACTATATACTATCTTTTATATATATTCTTGATCTTATGAGTGTTACTCTTTTTTTCCAATTAGACAATCTAATGGGCATCATATCATACAGTTCTTTTAAATGATACTGACTAGTTAAATGCATAACAGATGCTCAATAAAATATTACTCATTTATTATTCTGGATTATCTTTAGAATTCATTATTAAAATATAATTTATTACTAAGAGAAGAATATTCTATGTTTTTCCTCTAATACTTTGGAAGGGAATCAAAGGCTTCTTTTCAATGATTGTTCCATCTCCTTATAAGTCGGATAAACAGCAAAAAATATCTCTAGCTTGTAGTCCAAGAAATCGAAGGAGGAGGTTAGTAAGTGGTTCAGATCCCATCTTGCTTAGAAATAGCCTTAGAAAGAGAATTTATAACCACTGACTTTCGACGTGATCATCAAAGATAATAAAAAAGAAAAAGGAACAGGAATTCCCATGAGGAATATCTTTCTTTCAAGATAAAGCTGTATAGGGTTTCCCTGGAAAAATAGTTATGCTTTAGGGCAAAAGAGCCTGACAAAGCAGTTTCACTGATACTACAATTAGTCATAGCCTGGCTATGCTGAGGCTAGTTCCCTGTTCCTTGCTAGTATTTACTAGATATAAACAAGACCAGTTGGTTTCAGCTTCATAGTGTGAAACAGTCGGAGTCCCATAAATGAATAACATTTCTGTTATCAACACCAAAGAATGGGCTGATTAAATTAATACGTAAACTTTCAGAGTTCTTGAAGAGGTTGGTTAGGAGACAGTTCAACAAATCCATATGTGAACACTGCAGCATCATACTAACAGGCTTGACAATTATCTATTTTAAATTCAAATTTCTAAGATTAGGAAACATGCTAAATCTGAACGACTTGTATTGTACATAAAGTCTATCATTTGTATAAAGTACATGATTCATCCAAAACAAAATAGAGAGGAAAATAAGAAAAAAGTAATTTAAACAGAAGCTGAAGAAAAAAGCATTTTAAACAGAAGCTGACATTAGTAAAAAAATTAAGACAGTTTCTTGAAAAAAATTTATCTGTAAATTGTTTCACTAGGATTTCATTTTCTTCCTACTCATTAGATGTAGAAGACTGAAGCCAGTTACTCTGCTGACAATGGCCGCTCCTTTGTGGTAAGATATAAATGGAATTTGCATGGGACAAAGCCACTGATAATTATAGCCGCCCACAGAACAATTCCCACAAAGAAATCTTCTAGTTTCTAGGAGAGAATTCCCCATACAATTTGCAATTAAAATATGTAAAGGAATTTGCCTTAAAAATGTGCTGATTATATAGAACTTCAGAGGCTTCATGGGAGTGAGATGAACAAAGCAAGCAAGAAACAGAAATACAAGAAATAAAAGACAAGGCCATGCACAGCGGCTCACGCCTGTAATCCCAGCACTTTGGGAGGCTGAGGCAGGCAGATCACTTGAGGTCAGGAGTTTGAGACCAGCCTGGCCAATATGGTGAAACCATGTCTCTACTAAAAATAAAAAAATTAGCCAGATGTGGTGGTGAGCACCTGTAATCCCAGCTACTCGGGAGGCTGAGGCAGGAGAACTGCTTGAACCCTGGGGGTGGAGGTTGCAGTGAGCTGAGGTCGCGCCACTTCACTCTAGCCTGGGTGACAGAGCAAGACTCTGTTTCAAAATAAATAAATAAATAAATAAAAAACTAATGATGTAAGTTCAAAATAATAAACCAAAAACCAGTGTAGAAAAAACCAGAAACTTGAGCAATCAAAATACAGTGATTTATGCTTCAACTGATATGACAGTGGCAGTACCAGCAAAAGTATAAACAGAAATGGATATTCAAAGTTGTACCTGGACATCTCACTGTCTGTACCCCACTTCATGCCAAAAAATATTTCCCTGACGCATTAATGGTTGTGACACAAAACTTAATTTTTATATTTGTTGTTTGAAGACTGCATGCATTTCCTGCCTCCCATCCATTCAGGCAGTCCTCTATTCATAACCCACAGAAGCATGTATTATGTACTTATGCATTACATATTATATTTTCCTAAAGGAAAAATGTTATAAATGACAATTGGTTCCAGATGGGCACAAAAAAGGCAATTTAATTTATAATATTAATAAACAACCAGCCTGAGTCATGGGCCCTCATGGAGTCACTGAGGACTCCATTGTACAGAAGGAATGGGTAAGCAAAAGGAAAAAAAAAGAATCTTTATTTTCCTTTTCTGTACAGGGCTGAGGTTTCTAAGTACACTTTTGAAAAGCAGGTGAAGGACACTTTCCCTGTCCTACCCCTCTCTGCCGATCTCATGCTCTTCGTTAATCCTATTTTATCTTCAGTGCCCTTGTGCTGCTCTAAGTCCCTGAGTAGATTACTTGCTTCTACACAGTATTCAATTTCTAAAATTACGTATTTTCCCTTTTCCTCCTAATAAACACCTTAATTCTCTGAAAGTAGTTGATCTCAACTAGAGTATAGCACAAAAGCAATATGAGGAAACTACTTCACAATAAGGTGGGAATGACTGATAGTCTCCTAACACAAGTCTCCTAACACATACATTTTATGTTTATATATACACACATTTATATATAAAAAATACATAAGATACACATAAAAGATATGTATTTTTCCTTTTCTTTAAATAAAAGTACTTATTAAATCAAATGATTTGGTGAAATTTTGGGAAAAACAACAAAATAAAAATGAAAAATATAAGACTTTAGATAAACTGTATTACTCAGTAAAGAATGACCAACTAGGAGGTTTAGCCTAGGAAGTCTGCTTCCAGAAACAGCTTAAGTTAGTCATGCTTTTCATCCCTTCTTCTATTTCTATATCCAAGGATTCTAGAAATATTCCAATTTTAAATAATCAAAGTAGGGGCAAGGGGCTCTGCTCACAGCAGACTGGAGGCAGAAGCAGCCATATCAGTAAGTGCCTAAACTGTAAACATGCAAATATATTACAGATACAAACTGGGATTCATTACAGTCTCCCTGCCCAGTTATTTTGCTGCAAAAAGGATTTGTCATAGAACTCTTTTCTAGCACTATAATTAAGTTTCAAAAATAAATTCAACAAAACAATGCTTTTTTAGGAGAAAAATCTTTTTAGATGGAAGATATATAAAGATATATATTTATTATATATGAAAAAATCATATGTATGTGTATATATATATATTTAACACTAGTTTGTTTCAAAGGGAAAATATGTATTGTTGTTTCAAAATGTAATATGTGAGGAAGAAATGATTAATTTCTTGGCAAAGCTTTTTATTTGTCAAGAAAAAATTAGAAAATCTTATATTAAGATTGGATGTGACGCTAGCTGGGCTTGTCCATGTAAACAGAAATGCGAGCAATTTGGAAATGTTTAGAATACTTCCTTTTCCACCTGTACATCTATCTTTTTCTTCTCTCCTTTACTTTGACTCTATAGGTGTTCAAGTTTTTATTTTTGTAGCCATTTCCAGGAAAAGGCACATGGGACTTTATATTTCCACAGGGAATTGAGGGATGGAGTGGAGAGCAGTCACATTTAACTCTTGGCTCAGAGTGCAAACCTTTATTCTGGAAGCTTAAGAAAAAAAATTAAGAAGGATTAATTTTCAGATTCCCAAAATATGGTTGGTTTGGCCTACAGATTTTAAGTATCTATTCATTCAACATCACAGATTTGTTCTAAGTGCAAACTGAGATAGTAGCTCTGCTGCTTGAAGAGAAGGGGGCCCCTGCAGTTTGTTAGATGCCTAAGTGTAATGAGTCAAGCTACATTCTGCAGTCTCACCTAGGTAGAAGCCTCCCAAATTTTTCCTTTCCTCTTTCTATTGAAAGGTTGCTTTTAAGTGGAAATCTTACTAACAATTGGATTTCCCAATTAGTTATGTATAAATAACCAACTTTAGATATCTGTTTAGATAGACCAAGTAGAAGCCAGACCCCCTCAGGACTAGTACCTACCTGCTGTGTCTGTTGTCTCTGGATTGCTCTCACTTTGGGAACAGGGCTTTCTCTGGATGAAGAGGATTGCTGCCGGGACCGGCTCCCATTCTGCACGGGTTCGGCCACCAGGGCCGCGGATGCCACTGACATGCTCCCGGTGCTACGCAAGGAAGCACTGTGTGGCAAGGACGGTGGGGCTTTGGCTCGGGCACCTAAACCAGCCTGGTCCACTTTTCGGATCTGGGCCTGTCCAGTACTATTCTGTCGTGGCAATGCAAGAGGTATGTGTCTATCTGGCACAGTGTGCCGCCTGGAGAAGTCCTCACTCTGAGTGCTACGTTTAGTGAAATCTTCCATGCTGCTATTGCTGGGTCCACTGAGCTTGAAGTCTTCACTGTTACTTTGGCTTCTGGAACTGGCAGTGCTTAGGTTCTCCAAACTGGAATCTATAGAGGCCTTTGGCATTGCTGGAATTGGGTTATTGAGGTGATAGACAGGGTTCTGGAAGGACAAGGGCTGAAGGCCACCTGGCTGGTTCAAGGCTGGGTGCAGTGGCCTTCTCACTTGGGGTGCACTTTGGGGAGTGCTCTGGGTTTCCCGCAGCTGTTTGATGCTGGCCACCTGGGTTATGGAAAGCTGGCTTCCGGTCAAGCGCATAGGCACATCAAGCATGACAGATGCATGCTCCACTTGAGCAGCATGAGTGTCCTGGAGGTCCATGAGGGAAATGCTCCGACCATTAGGAAGGCTACTTTCCTTTTCATCCTTTTCAGAATAAGTCATGCTCTGAGAGGAGGCTTGCTGAACCAGCAATAACGTTTTCCCTCTGAAGTAGCTGTCTGTGTTGTCTTGGCTTGGAGATTTTAGTTTATGCAAATCACTGTGGAAAAGGAAAGGGCACTTAATTTCTTTTGAGACAAATTCAACATAGCTAAGATGACTCAGTTCAGGCATATAAAGTCCTCTGAAGGTTCTTATGTGGATATTTCCATTTCTTTGGAAACTCAGATTTTATCCAATTAGGGAATTATTACAATTCTTAGAATAAAATCCAGCATTTTTACTTTTCCCCAAAGGTAGAGAGTAACACTGTAGATACCAACCCACAACTGTCTTCAGTTTTAACCAGGATTCCAGTAATTTCCTAGTTACATTTGAAACCTTCCTCAAATATTCCAATTCATACTTGTCTAAACCTTCAAGAGGAGAAGTTCTAATTGCACAACTGAAAGGTCCCTGCGAAAGGTACAAGTCTTGCCAATCCAGAAAACATTCTAAGCATATATTGTGTCTACCTGTCTAGTGCACATAGTCAGCTATAAAATGGTTTTAACCAAGGTTCTTCAAGATTTTGAATGCTAAAACGTATAGAAACATCAATTTCATAAAACCTTTAGTCTTCCATTAAGCAAGATAGAAATTTTAAAAATATACTGTGGAATATACTGTAACTCTCCGTACTATCATTCTAGAAAAGAAGTTATCCCAGATTTTGTACATTATTATAACAAATAATTGGACTGCTTGCTCTCAGGTCAGATGAGTCTTCAATTGCTCATGATTTTAAACTTGTAAATTCAACAAATAAGTTAAATATACTTCTGTTAAATCTAAACATTATCTTTCTCTGAGATAGTAGTCAAATCCTCTCTTTCATACCTGTCAGTGGGGTCTTCAAATATTTTCTGCAGCCCAGAGGAGAGGCTTCCACTGACATTGGGACTGGAGTTATGCTCAGTGAAGCGTCTCAGTTGCTGTTGTATTGGTGTTGGATTAGTCAATGACTTGGTAATATCAGCAAGAACACGAGGGAGAGGCCCCAGTTTTGCCACGGTCGCCTGTAGGAAGGAATTTTCACCCTAATTGGATAATAAGCATTGCGACATCCACCATAGATTGATTTTGGCAATAACGATGGTCATTGATGGAGGGGTGTAGGTTGGAGGGAAGGGTAGGTGTTTGCATATGGGAGTGGCAGGTTCATAATGCATTGTTATGGAGCAGCAGAACCATGGCGTCGAGATGAATGGAGGCGAAACAAGGTACAGCAGACATTGAGGAAAGAAAGGAAATCGAAATCAGGATTATGCAAATAAAAATTAAAAGACATGCTCAAAACTACCAAACTAATGCCATTCCAACTAAAATAGGCATGCAAAGCAAACTAAATCTTTGGGAGGCTAGTAAATCAAGGTGGGAGAGGGTAAGGGAAGAACCAAACTCCTTCTAACCAAAAGAACTTCAAGACCACAGGATCAGCTAGTATGATAAAACTTTCAAAGAAAAGGGATCATGTGAGAAAAGAAATGCATGCCAACATACAAGGTGCTGCATTCAGGAATCCAGAGTACTGCAGGGCACACAGATGATACTGCCATCCACTATCACAGGCAATCTTGGAAACCCTGACCCACTGCCAACTGAGTTTCCATCAGTTAAGACAATTTTTGGTGTAATTTAACAGCAAAATCAGGTAAAGTTTCTCTATGAGATATGTCTAGATATATTCCTGGTTCCCAGGACCAAACCGGGATTAAAAAGGAGAAAGTGTGTTTTCACAGCAAAGCCTGTTAAAAAGATCTTGATCCTGAATAAACCAGGCCTATTTCACATGATAACTGAATCCGTATCCCACTGAGATGCAGTTATTCAACAAAGACTAACTCTTTATCCATCTCAATTATTTTTTTCTTTAGGGAATTCTTATTCTCATGGGGCCTTATGGGTCCCTTCAACTGGTAGTTTGACATAGTTGCCTTTGGGTCTTTGTCTTCTCAACAATCAACAGACCCTTCTACCCTACTCAAATAGGTACAGATGCCATCTGAAGAGTAGCTTTACTTGCTCAACAATGTTGGGCTATGATTCATATGAAAAGGATTTACCTTTGGCATAGCTGCAACTTAAAAATCTAGCTAGCATTTCTAAAAGTGAAGAAAAGGTCCTCAAGAATAAGTAACAGTTTATTGTTTTACAAATGTTTTATGCACTGGAGGACACACTACCATTTACGTTTCCTCAGCAAAGTAGTCTTTGTTAATAAATTTTACTGGTATAGCATTTTTATCAACAGGAAAGTAGAGGAAAACAAATAAATCCTTATCACAGAAAAATAACTGTCTTTTGAAGTTATTCTAACATACCACCACACATATTTATAAAGTGCCCGTAGCAAACAAAAACATCAATAAATAATTATTGTAATCAGCCTAGCCAAACTCCATTAGACTATTTTTTACTACGAAATTTATTCCTTTTTGTAAAATTCCAGAAGGAAGAAAATGATTGGCATGATGTACATTTACTTATTAGTATGGCATATAATAAAATTCTTAGCAAACAAATGATTAAAAATAATTGTTTCTGTATTCTTAATTCACATCTGTAAAGGAAGAAAACAGTAACTTTTAGCACTAAGAATTACATGAAACTGACTTGTAGAGTAAAAAAAAATTGTTTCATGGGTATAGTTACTTAAACATGATAAACCTAGTATTTTCTTAGCTAAGTCTACATTTTTGTTAGAAATTACCATATGAAGTTTCATCTCATCCTATTAGACATGCATAAGGCTGTATATACCAATATATTATTGTCTAGTCAAGTTTTCAGATATGCACTCTGTATATATAAATTTAGAGAAACATACCCCATTAATTCAGATATTATTAAAAATATATATTAATAATGTCGTGGTTTTCTAGAATTTCATGGTTGTAGATCCCATATTTTACTCAGAAGTGATGAACATTTCCTCTCAGATTTCCAAGGTAAAGATTGCTTTTAATTAGAAAGAGTGAGTGTTATCACTCTATAGGTACTCTCCAGAATTCAGGTACATTCAAGTTCTCTATCTTCCATCAACCTACTTTACCTTATCAAGTTGGGAAACTACTTCCCACAGTAAGGAATGCAAAACTGAAAGCTCTCGGCCCAGATCAATGTAACCATCAAAGCCTGGGGTGTTTGAGATGGTGTCTGGATTAGAGATCTCCAAAAGAAAGCGCTTCATTCCACCCCATTCATGTTCTAAAAAATCATTCATGAATGCCATGTATTCCTCTTTGTTACCAAACCTGAAGTAGAGGATGAGAAAATGAGAAAGAACATATTCAAGAAGAGAGATATGATCATTTTGAGTTGACTTTACACAGAACTATGACATTTTTTATTTTGTGGAGGGAATTACTAATTTTATTATCTGTAAGTGATAAATGCTATAACATACTTTCTCAATATCACTTAATATTCCAATGCTTTGAATAGCTTTCTATTCTCCAAAGGGTAAAGCCAAAACTTTTTTTTTCTTCTGGTATTTAAATTTCTATGTAATATAGCCCTCACTTATCTACCAAATGTTCACCACTACAAACCTTCAATACTGCTAGCTTCTTCAAAGTCTCCCAAATATATTATACATTTTTTTCTTCTCCAAGCTTTTGCCCATGCTATTTACTTGCACTAGAGAAAAGCTTCTCTCCTTTTGCCTATCTAGATTCTAGCTATCTTCATGGCCTCATTTAAGTCCATAAAACCTGTTTCAAAATAAAATATAAATAATTTTAGCTCAAATATGGATAAATATGTATATTTCTGCAATGGCTTATATATAAATTATACAAAATTAAAATAGTACACCCCTAAAAAGGCACTATTTATACTAGAAAATAATCTGTTCACTGAAGTTCTAATTTTTTTCTTCAATACATTGCTAATAGAAACTTGTCTTTAAGCATCTATATTGAGTAAATCCGTGCTTAATTCTGTAAATGTGAATTCCTTACCAGGTATTTCTTAAATTTATTTTCTATAAATTATAAAAATAACATAGACTTACTAAAAAAAGTTTGCAACAATGAAAAGTAGAAAGAAAAAAATGTGGATGTCTCATTCAAGCTACCCAAATATATCTGCTGTTTATATTTTAGTATATTTCCTTCCCAACTGTTTTCTCCTAATTTTCTTTTGAAAAATTTTAAACCTACAGAAAAGTTGAAAAAATATACAATGAATACCCATATGCCTTTCATCTACATTAACCAACAGTTATTTTTGACAGGCTTGCTTTCACACCCTCTCTTTCTATACACACACTTTTTTTTTTTTTTTTTTCCGGAGCCATTTTAAATTAAGTTGCAGACATCACCTCTAAATAGTTTAGCATCTTTTTCTTCAGAATAAGGAATATCTCTTACATAAACCAATGCCATTATCACACTAAAACTTTTAAAAACATTATTCACAAATTATCTTATCTACAGTCTATAAATTCCACCCACTGTCCCCAAAATGACATATGTATACTTTTTCCAACTTGAGATTCAAATAAGTTTCAAGTATTGCATTTAGTCTCTTTTAATCTACAACAGCCCCCCTCCATCTTCTGCATTTTTCATAAAATTGTCTTTTTTGAAGTGGCTAGGATAACCACAGAATTTGTCTTTTCTTCCCAACCTTTTTTATACTTAGATTTTTGTGTTTTAATATTGCTTGGATAACAGCATATATACCGCTTTTTATTCTGCCCTTTTTTTTCTACTAAAGTATTTTATCAGCACTTTTCATTTAATATAATTTTACTTTCATGTTCTATATTATTGGATAGTCTTTGTAAACAGTTTGTAGTGCCTGCAAATATTCCATTGAATGCATGTATTATAGGTTGCTTAACCATTCTTCTGTGAAGTGATTATTTAAGTTGTTTCCAATATTTTGCTCTATTTATTAATACTACAGTGAAACATGAGTGATGGGGCTCCCAACTCTCATCCAAATTTTAGGCCTCAAGTATTTTTTTAAATTGTGTTTTTAAAGTAGTTACAAAGTATCACCTACTTGGCAAAGTTGGCCAGGTTCTGAATGACCTTGGCAATAAGAGTAAGAGTCCGAGATGTGCGGTCATCAGGATACTCCTGCATAAGGTTGAAAAGACTTGGAGACATAATGGCTGGACACAGAAAACGGAGAAATAAAGAGGCACTAATGAGCCTCTCGCTGATGTCTTGCTTGCCATGGTTCAGGCACTGCTGCTTCCATGATGCAAACACTTCTTTCAACTCACGAGGGAAAACACTAGGGAAGGAAAAAAATACCGAAACCTCTAAACACAGAAGTACCAGAACACAAAGCACAAGTGATTCCACCTTGACGCCATGTATTTCTGCTTAAGAGTCAGGCTGGAAGGAGGACCTAGTAGAAATTCTGGGATTAGGTTTTACCTGATTCATGGCTGACAGAGGGTGGAAAATTCACAGAGGCCAGATGGAGACTGGAAACCCAAGGCTACAAAACTCTGGATTAGTTTAAATTTAGTTTTGCAAAGTGGGAAAATGGCATGAGGCTCCTGACTAAACCATCTGGTTTAGTATAACTCACCATAATCTCTCTAAAGACTGTTCATCAAAAATCTTCAAAATTTCACCAATTGCTGGAGTTAGAGCAATGATCAAAATTCATGAACACATCTGTTAAACACTAGTAAATACTTTAGAAAGCAAAATAAATACCTTTGATATTAGAGGCTATAGTATTAATATTCTGGGGAGAGATTATATAGATAGCCAGATCAAAAGTATTTCTGCTTACAATGAATATTTCAATTTTAGACGGGACCGTATTAGGGAAACTTTCAATTTTTCCCCAAGACCCTCGCCTTTCATTGTAAAATAATAGTTAACATTGTGATGACTTTTATATGAAAAAATTTAAGTTTCACAGGCAGAGGATGAGATAAGCTCACCAGTAAGAGTTGATGATCTTGCAGAAAGCCAGCTCACAGCACATTTTCAGGTTGCTCTGATGGTCTATCAGTTCACTAGATGAACATTTGCTGGGATCTACTTCACAGTTCTCATCTGACTCATACAAAGCTTTGATAAATTCCCCTGTTTGAAAAGAGAAGATGACAGTATAACTATAAATAGTGTCTTCCCGAATAGAATAAAAGGATTTATGATTTCTGTCCTAAAATGTATAATGGGGAATTCTTTTCTAGATCTGACATGGAGGGCACAAAAGATGGCCTATGAAGGGTCATTGCTTTGGAACCCATGAGTTGCCACATCCTACATATCATGTTTATTTTTCTTATCCTGGAAGTGGAATAACAGCAATCACTACCATCATCATCATCACAGTATTTATAAAAATGGTAATGATACTGCTTTAAGCAATGTAGTATCAACTGAAACTAAATATATGTTTAATTAGCATAAACTTGTTATTTGTTTTAAGGCTTGCTCTACTGAGGTGACTATTATCGTTATTCTAGTAGAACACATGACCCAAGCTTGACTGAATTGCCCACTGAAGGTGTTAAGTGCTAATGTTGGTGCCAAACACAGATGCAAGTAAGGATCTTTATGCTTACCTCTTGTAGAGGAGACAGTCATTCAACATTGTACAATATTATAGCAGATCTCCTTATATAATCTGTATACGCTTTTCCATATAAATTTAGTTTAGAAGCCCTGTTCACATAGCCTACGCTCTATGAAGATAAACCCATTATTCCCTGAAAGAACAAATTCCTACTTTACCTGTTTATCCTCTAGCATACACCATACCTTGTACATCTTTGACTACTTCATATTTTACACTGTGTTTCTTTCATTTCTAGGATGAATACCTTTGGAAGTTAGATACTAGGTTCTGTTCATGTTCAAATCTTGACTCTTCTGAATAGCTCCCAAAATATTATAGGTGCTCAATAAATATTCATCAGAGATGGCAGTATGTATTCTTGTTTTTTTAATGGTCTTTATGAAGGAGGAGTGGATCTTTCAAATCTCCTCCCAAACATGCTTTTATTACTTGAGGTTCAGGCTAGTCATAACACACTTCATGAAACTGAACAATAATGCCTGCAAAACTAAGTAGCAGCAGCAACAGAAAGAATATTTCTATCAAAGTGGTTAGTATGCAGATAAATGAAAGCTTTTAAAAATATCTGTGACACAGAATGAGAGGTGATAATTTTGAGCAAAAATGCTTAGGGAACAGGAAACAATGTGGTATACAGAAAGGAAAGTGGTGCACAGAAAAATTAAAGGCATTGAGGTCAGATAAATCTAGGCTCAAATCCTGGATCCATCATTTAACTGACTGTGGGGCCTGGAAAGGTCACTTAATTAGTCCGAGTTTCAGCTGTCTTATTTGTAAAATAGTGTTAACAGAAACCACCTGTAGAGTTGTGGTGAGGAAAAGACATAATGTATGAAAAGCATCTAATATGGTACCTGACTCTTAGTAGGAGTGCCATACAAAACGTATTTTAATGTACAAATCATGCAACTTTTAAATAATTTTTTGTCAAGTGAAATGGCTAAAACTAGCAAAAGCCTTTTTAAAATATTACAAGACATGTATTCAACATGTTCTCTATGTCTCCTGTGCTATGTGTTCCCACAAATGTACTTCCTTGAAAGAGTACCTAAATTTAAAACTAAGAAATCAGTGTCAAACATCCCATGCAAAAACTGGCTAAACTTTACACATGCATCCTAAATATTCTGTTTAGTGAGTCCTTTTAGGTTATGTGTATTTGAAGGAAAAAATAAGATTAACAAAGAACATGAATATTAACAATATTTTTCTTTTATTCTTCAAGAAAAGAGCCAGATAAATAACTCCAGGGCCCAGAAGTAAAATAATTTCTACAGTATCAGCTCGAAAAGTTTTTGTTCCTGATTATGACATATTTAAAATGCTCCAAAATAGAAAAATATTACTTTAACTGTTGAAACAATAACCAATGTTTCAGCATGCAGAATGTACCGTATTGAAAGGAGAGGCTTTTATTGATATGTAACTAGAAGTTTGCTTACTTGATCAAAATTACCAAGACAGATTTAAAAACCCATTTAAGTTTGCCTCCTTGCATTTGAAAAACACCAGAGCCAAAAGGGTTGCTTGTTATGTTGTTTACATGTTAAGTTTGTGCCCAGATGTTCTATGATGTATTTTCTGTGTAAATCATTAACTCATTACCATCTAGCATAAAAATTTCACATGTACGAGTAAGTCAACAAGTATGAACATGTTACTGTTGAAAGGAATTTGCCTCCACCACTAAAAGTGGAAATCAGGTCTTTTCAGGGCTTTCTTCTGTATATTTCACAGATAGTATTTCCTGTGTGTCACAGGATACCAATGTGCAATCTGATTTCAATCAGAAAGGTAAAATAGGAAAACAGATGGAAGATTTAAATCTAAACAATGCAGAGTCTGTGCAGAAAAAGTAATGCTTTAATTAAGATAAAGACTGGCTAAAAAGCAGACAGATATTGTACAATATTACTGGCAACTTTTAAAATAAATTCTCTCTGAAAACTATTCAAGGAGTCTGGAAACAGTACCTATTTTCTGCCCAAAGTATATGAAATACTTTAATGAGAAGAAGACAATATAGCCCTTATCCTGAAGAAGCTTACCAATTAATTCTGTTTATGCTCTTAGAGGCAGCAGCCGTTTTTACTACTCTGGCCCTTGCTCTTGGATTATAAATATTATTACAGAGATTTCTGAGGGGTTACTTGAATTTCTTCCAAGTCCACTGAATTAATTTTCATGCTTCATTGAGCCCATCAGCCATTTAATCATTCACTGTCCTATCACAGGACTGGTACCCACTTTCTATTTTGGAAATTATTTCATTCAGAAATCCTGTTTAGCACACTGAATTTTTAAGTATGACTATTTGATTTCAAAGAAGCAGGTAGTCAGTAAATATTCACCCCTATGTCCACAGAATGGAGAATACTGTTTGAGATGCTTTTTTTTCTTTTTTGGTAGCCTTTTATAATGAAACACAAATAATTAAAGCAAACCATGAGATATAATTGATGACTGTAATAAACTCTTTATGTAAATGACAGTATAAATCTCTTTGTACTTTTCTTAAGCTCTTTGTACCATTTTAAAGTCTACATGATTAGAGAAAAAAATATGAAGACAAGCAGGAAGACAAAAAATCTGCTTCAGAGCAGAAACCAATTGCAGTAGCTACTACAATGTGTCTGCTTCATGTAAACATAGTGATCCTGTTGCTCGACTGGCGACTCACTCTTTATTCCTTACAGCCTGGCTCCTTTCCTCCTGAAACCAGTGTGAGCCATCACCAGTGATATTTAAGGTGCCAAATGCAATATCCATTCTTTTTCTTTACCTTCCATAATTTCTGACTTTAATGATGCTCTCTTATTGGTATCTAGGACTCAGTATTTTCCTGGCTTTCTTTCTTTTTTGGATGCTCTCTTTCTCTGATCACTTCTCTGATTCTTCTTCATTCTATATGATAATCCCAGGTGCATTCTAAGATCTATCTTTGGCCTTGTTCTCTTCCTGCTCTGGTAATCTTACAGCTTCATTTAACCTCTCCACATGTGTAAATTGGTCCCAAATTTCCAACAGCCAGCTAGACAGGTGATCTGCTTAGATTTCCTACCTAAAACCCCTGAGATTTCCTACTAGAACTTCAAATTGAATATGTATGAAATTTCCTGTTTCACGCCTACTAATTCTGTGGTTTCCTGTCAGGAATCTCATCATCCCCCTAGTCACTCACAAAACCTCACAATTCTCTGTAATATTTGTTCCCACAAACTGAAAAATTTGCCAAGTTCTATCAGTTTAACTTTAATACCTCTCATATCCATCTTCTCTATTCTTACTTGCATTATTACCCTCATTCAGAGCCTGAGTCTCATTATTTCTTACTACAATGGCTTTTTTATTTTTATGTTTTAGAAGGAGTTTTGCTCTTGTCACCCAGGCTGCAGTGCAATGGTGCAATCTTGGCTCGCTGCAACCTCTGCCTCTCAGGTTCAAGCAATTCTTCTGCCTTAGCCTCCCTAATAGCTGGGATTACAGGTGCCCACCACCATGCCTGGCTAATTTTTGTATTTTCAGTAGAGACAGGGTTTCAACATGTTGGCCAGGCTGGTCTCGAACCCCTGATCTTAGGTGATCCACCTGCCTTGGCCTCCCAAATTGCTGGGATTACAGGTGTGAGCCACAGTGCTCAGCCTACAATGGCTTCTTAACTGATCAGCTTTCAGCAGCTTTCTTCACCAACTTTTTAAAGACAAGGTCTTTCTCTGTCACCCAGGCTGGAGTGCAGTGATGTGACCATAGCTCACTGCAGCCTCAAACTCCCAGGCTCAAGCAATCCTCTCACCTTGGCCTCCCGAGTAGCTGGGACTACAGATGAGAGCCACCATGCCCGGCCAAAACCCATCTTAATCAGTCTGTTAAGTTAATTCCACTGAAAACAACCTGCTCACAACTTTCAGTGGCTCTCCGGTGATTACTGTAAACTTTAAATCCTCATTCAGGCATTTGAGGCTTTCAAAATTTGGTTCTAATTATTATCTAATCTTTTTGTTTGTTGTTCACAAAAAGATTGTCTAATCTTTTTGTTTTCTTTCATGTCTTTTTCCAGCTAAATGGTTTTATTCCACACTTTCCTGGCTCTGTCCCAACTCTATGTCTTTTTGTTCATGGGTCCTTTTCCCCATGCTAATTCTTATCTCAATGTCTGCTCTTGCTCAATGTCTGTTTTTAAGTAAACTTTCTAGCCTTCAAACTACATATGCAAATGTATTTCACAGAGAAAGTTTGAAAATTCTATCAGCTACATTCAATTTTTAAAAATTCTTTGAAAGAACACAGAATCTCTCTCTTTTTGGTACAGAGATAGCCCTTATTTTATCTCCTTATAGTGTAAACTCCTTGATGGCAAAAATCTCTCCAATCATTCAACGTATTTTTACTGTCTACTCTTGATAGTCACATGTGACTGTTGAGCATTAGAAATGGCTTGTGCAAATTAAAATGTGTGATACATGTGAAATACACACAATTTCAAAAAGAATAAAAAAGTAAAATACCTAATTAATAACTTTTATTCTGACAAGCCATTAAATAATACTTGGATATACTGGGTCAATGAAATGTGTTACTAATTTCACCTGTTTCTCTTTACCCTTTTTAATACTGTGACTAATAGAAAATTTAAAATTACTCCAAATGTAAAAATAAATAAAATTACTCACACATGGCTCATATTATGCTTCTATCGGACAGTGCTGTTCAATAGTCTGTGCAGGCAGTAGGGTATGGAGGTAAAACAACGGGCTATTTCCTTCAAGGAACTCACATCTGCTCTATCGTGATATATATTAAAGTGACCAGCACAGTGCCTTACTGTAGTGGTTAATGCCTTAACTTCGTGACCAAATCTAGAACTACAAGTGTGTAGTCTAGTGAGCAGGAACTGCTGGTTGAACAAAAATTAGTTATGTTAAACATTCTAGACACTTCAAAGGCAGAAATCTCTGGGGGAGTTGTGGGAAGTGGCAAGTTTCTTCACTTTGATTAGAGGTTTGCATACATGATAACAAATGTCAGGGTAACACTCTCAAGACTAGGTAATATATCATCATATAAACACCAACACTTTGGGGAAAACAGACCACCTCAGATCTATCAGTGGACAACGCTGATATTACTGTGCATCCCAGAATCATGAAGTTGAGAACTGGGGGAAGCAGTGTATGCTGACAGGGTTTCTGTTTCTACATTTATTGTTGTTATTTCTCCACTGATGAGTACTGCAAAGACTTCTTACAGCCACAATTCAAACCTTAACACTTGAGTCAGCTAGAACTAAATAACATGCTCAATTCATTTGTCTCATGAGGTTGAAATATCTTAAAATCGAAAGGTAAAGAAAAGAAAATAGATGTTTTTCTCTTTCATACCCAGTGCGTCATGAAGATACTGTTGTCCCACTAACTTGAGGTATTCCTCAATGGATTTGGTGGCAATAGTGTTCTCTCTGAAGATCAAGACATCATGCTCTCCACAACGATCCACCTCAGACATCACCAAGTCAGTCAGAAAATCCTGGTAGAATAATGTTCAATCAAGCAGAAAGCAACTGAATAAATAATATACATTAGAAGAGACTGCTGAAATATCAGACACCCTGGAAATGCTGCTTTAAAGCTAAAGCTACCAGATTTATCTGAAAGGAAAAAAAGCACTCAGGATAAAGTCTTAGGTGTTACTATCCCTACATTTAAAATTCTTTCAAAGATTTTCCATTGCACTTTTGATAAAGGCCATAATTCTGAATGCGATTTACAAGTCCCTATATTTTCTGGTTTCTGTTTACCTTTCAAGCCTTGTACCTTTTATTTTTAGGTCCTTTAATATACCAAGCCCTTTCTAACCCACACAGTGTTCTCTGTTCACCACAAAGCCTTTTTTTTTTTTTCAAATACTCTTCTTAGTTCTGCTCTGCTCCTACCCTTGCTTCCACTCCCACTGTTACGTGGCTCATTCCTGGGATCCTTTGGATTTTAGTTCACATATCATTTCCTCAGTGAAGGCTTTCCTGATCAACATTGCCCCTGCACTCCATTAGTCAGCTCCCTTTGCTCCATTTTACAGTATCATCTCTCTTTTTATCCTCTGCAATTCTCACTGTAATCACATTTATTTCTGTAATTACTTGATTAATATCTATTTTCTCCAGAAAACCAGTTTCTGTTTTTGTTTACCACCATATCTCCAGTGCCTAATGATTTCTGGCATGTTAGGTGTTCAATATATAATAGTTACAAATTGGTTCACAGTATCAATGTAGAATCTACTGAACTCAACACTAGAAGTCATTTTCTAGGCTGGCTGTCTGCCCATCCATCCATCCATCCATCCATCCAGAAGGATAGCATAAGGAGAAATAAAGGCTCAAAGAAACAGCTGCTTCATTCTGCAACAGTCTTAAAGAACTTCTTATAAGGTTCAATGTTGGTTGTTCAGTTTGAAATGTGATAACATCATATATTTTGAATGCTACATAATTATTGGATACTTCTAGGGCTCCAAATGCCAAAATAGGGACAATATGCTGATTTATTTTCACTTTAAAATTAAGCATTTTAAACACCAATGGGACTTACTCTGGGGCAGCTTAACAGTGTAAAAGAATCGTGGACTTAGGAATCACTATTAAACTTAATGCTAAGAGACAGGAGGAAACTTTTAGGGGTGACAGTAACATTCTGTATCTTGATCATGACGGTGGTTTCAATGGGCACAAAATCGGTCAAAACTTACTACAGTAACTTTTCCACTTTAAATGGGTGTTTATTGTACCTAAAATGTATGTAAATCAATATTGTCATTTAGAAAGTCTTATGTATATTCTGAACCTTGAGCAACTGAAAAGTAGAAATTCAAAATTTCAGTGATACCTCATTCCAAACTTATAAACTTTTTTAATGACAGAAGGCCCAAGATTATCATTAATAACTTTAAGCACAAAAGTTATAATCCATAGAAAGGCAGATAAGAGACTAATGATCGAGTATATTTATATACTCTGAAATATCAATAAACAGTAATAGTACTTTGGTTCTAAATACATTATTCTAGCTGTGAATTTCTTTGGCTCTGAGATATAATTTTATCATGACCAGTTTGCATACAGTATAATGACAACTCTGCCTCGTTAAGTGAATATGCCTCACAGGTCAAAGATTTTTCTCAATTGGTTTTTGTTTTTCCTACAACCAGCATATCTCTCCTTAAAAAAAAACAAAACAAACAAAAAAAAACCTTCCTGAGTTTTTACTTCTATCCAAGGTGAAATAAGAAGTCTATCATGAAACAGCTACCAATTTTATAATATCCCTTAGTATTTTTATTCTAAATATAGATTTTAATCCCATGAAGACTCTTGCTAATACCCAACATGCTTCTGGAATACCTCTTTCTGTGCCTAGAGGATACAGTCCTCAGTTAATCTTAAACAAAATACAGTGAGGAAGAAAACCACCATACAACACTCTAGAACTAAAGATAAAGAACCCTGAACACGCTGTAGGGTTATCATGCCGATCCTACCATTTATTTTGTCAGACAATAAAGAACTGACTGTAGTATCTATGTTTCATGCAAATGGACTTTAAATAAATGTTTGTTGGTCTCTCCATTTTACTGGTTTAGTTTTATAATTTTTATCTTTTCTCGGTCTAATAGGTTTTCTTCTTAATTCTTCCTTTTCTTCTTGTTTTGACCAACAGTAAAGCACATTTCTCTAATTTGGATTTCTACAGTAACCATATCTTTGTTTCTTTGCAAAAGGTCGGGAAGAGATTTTAGGCATTGCAATCCCCCTTTTCCACTTACCTTGGCTCTGCCAGTACTTTGAAGAATGTGCACTAAGGCACAAGCCAACTCCTCTTTATTTCTCACGCTAATTACTGGCTCAAGGACAGAACACAGCATGGTGTAGTTGCTGGTGACAAATTCTGCAAATTCTTTGTATTGTTCCATAGGCAGAATGGTGATAGTTTGGAAACGTGATTTAATCCGAATAGAAGGTCCTCCTGTCTTTCCTTTGTTGGGTGTAGGTGTACTCACTGGATACCACTTTTCTACAAATTGGCGACCAGTCACACTGGCAGTGGGGATGTTGACTAGCCCTACGTAATTATTCTTGTCCTTCTTTTTCTTTTTTTCCACATCCTTGTAAATGTGAACTGTGATGCTATGAAGAGGTGGAAGGCTGAAGAATTCAAAATGTTCACCCCAGAAAATATTGTCTGCTTTGGTCTTGCTGGTTGTACGAGCAAAGAGGGTATCATCAAGGCACAGTTCGCAGAAATATTTCTTTTTAGGGGCAAGGTCCTTGGCTTCAATGATCCATAAACGAAGAACATTTTCAGCTCGCCTGCAATTGTCCTATAAAGAGGCAACAAAGTTGAATTTCAGAGCTCACATTGCAGAAAAAAAACATTTTTTTTCTTAAGTTGGCAAGGTTGATTAGGTATTCTATTAAGGGGAGTCAACAAATAATGAAAGGGATTGCTATCTCATTGCTTAGGTTAACAGCAAGCTCTAAATAAGAAGAACAAATTAGAATCTTGAAGAATTATATATATTTCATTATATATTATATTATATTATATTATATCTAGCTCATTCTATTTAATTTACTTGGGTTAAGAAAATATCATTTTGTAATGGTAAGTTTTCATATAGCCAGCCTAATCTCTGCAAATAAAAGAGATAAACTGTTAAGAAGCTCATATTCTAGCCCCTCTTCTACCATGTTCTAACTTCTGACATGGCCAATTCACTTAACTTTTCAGAGTCCTTTTACCCATACTGGTAAAACCATGACAATAATATCTGCAGTAAGACTATTTTTAGCTTAAAAAATGGATATTTGTCCCTGCCCAAATTTTATGTTGAATTGTAATTCCCAATGCTAAAGGTGGGGACTGGTGGGAGGTGTTTGGATCAGGGGGCAGATTCCTCATGGTTTGGTGCTGTCTTTGTGATACTGAGTTCCTGTGAGGTCTGGTGGCTTCAAAGTGCATGGCACCTTTCCCCCAAATCACTCAAACACACACACACACACACACTCTCTCTCTTTCGCTTGCTCCTGCTTTCACCATGTGATGTGCCTGCTCCTGCTCTGGCTTCTGCCATGACTGTAAGCTTCCTAAAGCCTTCCTAGAAGCTGAGCAGATACTAGCATCATGCTTCCTGTAAAGCCTGCAGAACTGTGAGCCAATTAAACCACTTTTCTTGATAAATTACCCAGTCTCAGGTATTTCTTTATAGCAATACAATAATGGCTTACTACAAATGGCATAACATATAAATGTGCTTTAAAACTCTCAAGCTGTAGACAAATTAGGGTATTACTATTATATTTACCTTCTGTCAACTAATTGCTTACAAAGTTACACGTTTTTTAGATACTCAAAGCCAGTATTACCTTATTAGGTTGAACTGTCCTGCGAAGGTTTTCCATCCACTTATCTCTCTCAGAAGCGGAGTTACAGCTGAAGCATTTACTTCCACTTAAGTAGGTAACCTTCAACATAAAAATTAGACATAAAAAAAGGAAAACATTGGATTTCAGGGCTCTATCATTTGGGTTCATAGCATACCTCTAACTCTTAAATGATAAGGTCAGAATGTCCTGGAATTAGGACAGATGGATGAATGGATGGATGGATGGATGAGAAAAATATGGTCTCAGATCCTGAACTACTCATGCTGTGGTAGAAAAATAACATAATGAGCAACATCCTTACCAATACTAAAAAATTAATTTACTAATTTAGTGTTATTGTTACTCTCATCCTCTAATGAAAATATACTAAGAGTCAAATTTTATTGAAAGTAGACAAGGCCAAAAGGAATGCAAAGTTGTGAGTTAGAGATATGCTATGAACCCAAATCACACTATAAGAAATTAAGATGATCTTTGCTAGTTTTCTGATACCTATATTTATATCTATGTCTACTTTTTGCTTAGGTAGCATCCACGTCCATTTCCATATATGAGAACAAAGGCCATTTTAAATTCAGCTGAGGAAACTAAAACTGGCCTATGGTTCAGAAAAATAAAAATTAAATATTAGGCAATAACTTAAATTAACTGTAAATGAATATGTTCAACTTTGAGTTAATAAAAAACAGGTAATAAAAGATGAGTTTCTTTTCTTTTTCTTTCTTTCTTTTTTTTTTTTTTTTTTTTGAGACAGAGTCTCACTCTGTCACCTAGCCTGGAGTGCAGTGGTACAATCTCAGCTCACTGCAACCTCCACCTCCTGGGTTCAAGCGATTTTTCTGCCTCAGCCTCTTGAGTAGCTGGTACTACATGTGCACGCCACCATGCCCAGCCAATTTTTGTATTTTGAGTAGAGATGGGGTTTCACCATATTGGTCAGGCTGGTCTCGAACTCCTGACCTCGTGATCCACCCACCTTGGACTCCCAAAGTGCTGAGATAATAGGATGAGAGTTTCTGAAACAGCTTATCAGATTTCTTGAGACTGTCTTCACTATATTATAGAAGGATATTAAATAACATTGAAGTTACTAATATTGAATTACTATCTTTGGAACCCATTTTTCCTCCACTAGGCAACTAGCCTGCTGATTTCTAGTCATTTATTAGGTTAGCCTGACCACTATTAACACAGTCCTTTAAAAATGAAATAGGTTGTTATACACCTAGTACCTAACTCTGGGCTTGGTATATAGCCTAATGAACTGAGTTCCACAAATATGGGAAAGTTCAACTGATTTTTATAAAAAGAACACCAGTTAATGGCCTGCTCAAATTGCTGAAGCTTGCTCCCTTATTAACTCAATCTCTGGCCACAACCTATTAAATCCGATCAGATTAGATGCTCTGTCCAATACAGCAGCTACTAGCCTCACACGGCTATTCCAAACTGAGATATGCTGTAAGTATAAATACACATTAGATTTTGAAGATTTAGTCTAAAAAAAAAGGAAACCATTTCTCTATTAGTGAACATGTTGAAATGATAGTATTTAGGTTACACATGTAGCTTGTACTGTATTTCTTTTGGACGGTGCTGGTCCATAAGAAAAGGAACCAAATATCTTTTGACTTCTGCAACATCTAGCATAGGACTCATCCCTAGTCACTTAGTAAGTTCTTGTTAATTAATCAAATCCCAGCCCTAATAATTCTATGTATGTATCAATATATGTATATATAGTTATTGAATTTTACTTGTAACTGGCCAGTAGTATATATTTGGAAGGAAGAAATCACCTTATGATAGCTGCAATTTTGTTTATTCAAAAATTAGGCACTTGCAATGTGCCCAGGTCTGGGCTAGGTACCGGTGATTTCAAAAATAAACAAGACATAGGTCAAAATACCCTGGAATTAGGATGGATGGATGGATGGATGGATGAATAGATGAATGGATAGATAAGAAAAACATGCTCAGGTCTTGAACTACTCATGCTGTAGTTAGAAAAATAACATAATAAGTGACATCCTTACCAATACTAAAAATTAATATACTAATATGTTATTGTTAGTCTTGTTCCCTGATGAAAATGTACTAAGAATCCAACTTTATTGAAATGAGACAAGGCCAAAAGGAATGCAAAGCTATCATTAATAACTTTAACTGCAAATGTGATTCGATGAGATTTCTAATTTTTTCCCTGTATGTAATTTCTAGCAACTCAAAACCAGTTAATTAAATCATCAATGGCACAGTAATGAAATCACAAAATTACTGGATAAAAAAATTCAATTGTTGTTTAACTACTCTTCCTTTTTTTCTACGCTTTATTCTTACCTCAAAGCAGAAGTCTTGTCCAAGGATGCTACTATGGAGTGGTTTCACTGATACAGGTTCCCCTCTACCAAGATCCAGACATTCCACTGCACTGCATGGGCTTAGCAAGGATTCATGGGAACGTGACTCTTTTAGTTTAGGCAGCCCACGAGACCTAAAAGTAGAAAAAGATATTTAAGGTAGTATAACTTGGCCAGCAAGGAAATGAAGGTCTAATGCAATGGAAGACAACAATAGATGTACAAAAGCCTAAGGGAAGAAATAAATGAGGAACAAATGAACAGTTAATCTATAATAACAGTAATAGTAATCATTTATGTGGCAAACATATTCTCTCTATATATTTATGTGAGTGCACACACACTTTTTTTCAATACAGCATAAAAATATACTACACATTTACTTGTCTTCAGTGAGCGTCAAAGCCCATTACAGACATTATTTTTTATTCTCATTCCTATTTTGGAAGATGGAGAAATATATACTCTTTAAGGTTATCTTATATATTCTTTCTTATGCAAAGCTATTGCCAAAAGACAAATTATTTTTGTTTTCATGCTATAGCTTTATCCTTTTATATCACTGACAAAATAGTAGTGGCTGAATCTTCATTTTGTTTCTTTCTACTTTGGCACAACACACACACACACTCACTCACACAGAGAGTCAAAGCTAAACTTCTTAGCACAAGGTCTTGTCTTTCAAAAGTCCTGATTTCCATCTCAATATAGTTCTTTTCTGGCAGGCTTTTGGTTCTATACATGCTTTACTGTATAAATATGAATAAAGAATAAAATTCCTTGAAGAAACCTCCCACCATGGAAAAAATAAAGCCCAAACTTTCATCTAGAAATCTTTGTCAACACCATTCAGTCATCCCGGCTGATTTTGTTTCCTAGTTGTTTATAAGAAGAATGCTAGGAATCATGACTCTTGTCACTACAAAGCCAGTACTTCACTGCCTTCCTCTTGAAAGAATTAAAGGAGCCAAACATATGAAGTACAATATTCTTGAATCCCAAATTGGATGGCCATGCAGTTTGACTCAATAATTATAGTATCTACTGAATGAAACACCCAGAGTTACATACATATATTTGAAGCAGAAGTACTCAGTAATAAGGATGAAAAGAAATGCCTTGTTTAAAGGCAATTGTTTTTATAAAACACATTAAATAAGCAGCTTCATTTAATTCCTTGAAATAACCACATTAACACTAAAAGGAACTTAAATATTTAATGCCAGAGTAGCTTTTAGTTAAATTATAAAGTAAAAAGATATAGGAAACTAGCATTAAGGTTGCTTTCTCCCATCTACTTTTATTCTAAGAGTGTTTAATCACATTCCATAAAATAAGAAACAAGCTTATAAGGATTTTAGTTCTTCTTTCCACACACACACACAAATCAGCCACCATTTAAAGTTCAGGATTCAAAACATGTGTTCTGATATTCAGTAATTTTTAAAGTAAAAAAGTCAACATTTATATTTCTTGCTGATAGTATAAAATATGCACAAAAGGGACAAACGCTACCTAATGTTTTGCATTTGAAAAATGTCAAAATGTTTATTTTTCTGCTGATATTGGGTAAGAACAAAAAAAATTTAAAAATTAAAAAAACTAAAACAAAAAAGAAAAATGCAACAACGTAAGCTCCATATTTATTTCCCTTTGTTCTATGTATAAGACAATGACATGTTATGTACTGTAAATATAGTACATCAACTATAATTAAATGTTAAGATTGTATTCTACTTATCATATAATCTTTCCCAATACTGTATGCTACATGGGAAGCCTGGTTCAGGAAACTGGACACTGTAATCTTAAACAAAACAACAATTCTAGCCCATTTTTCTCAGGAGGAGTTGCTGGAAGGAAAACTCCTCTCCTGCTCTGGTGTGAGCTTCTCAACAGGAAAGATTAAGGCATGTTTAAAACAGAAGGAGGTATGACAGACGCTTACTTTTGTTTTTTAAATTCTCTAGGAAAATTTTCTAAAGCATAAATGAATTTTATTTCAAACAAAATAAATGTCTACCTACATGAAACAATGGTAGAGCCACCTGGCAGTGCAACCCCAAATCATAGCGGTGCCACATTTCCTGGTATAGCAAGTCTCTTTCTGAACTACATGTCAGAAAACAACTCTCTGTTAGAAGACGAGAACCAATAGAAGATGGCTTCTTTGTTGCCTTTGGTTACTGATGACATCTTTGAATAAATGTTTTCCAGGTGTTATTTCAAGTCTTCCATAGAAGCAGAACAGAAACACAAACAACAAGATCAAGATTCATCTATCCAAACGATTTGCAAGATAGGTAATATTCCTTTATCTCTTTCTTCAGGCTGTACCTAGCCCCTCAGGTAACAAACAAGGCACCTGGGCTCTAGGCTGGGTCTGTTGCCATGGTGCTACATTAGAGCTGGAAGGCAGCAAGAAGCAGCTATGGCTTGAATAACTCAAGGGGCATGCTCTGCAAACATGGCAAAGGTGACTATTTTAAGACAGAAAGGAAGGAATGATGAAGCTTCTATCCATTTCTATGGACAAGTTCTCAGTAAACGGCAATAGAAGAGACTGAGCCAACTCTGGGAATGGAAGATAATCTCTTATTAAAACCTCTACTAGGTGACTCACGCCTATAATCCCCAGCACTTTGAAAGGCTGAGGTGGGCGGATCACTTGAGCTTAGGAATTCAAGACCAGCCTGGGTAACATTAGTGAAACTCTTTCTCTACCAAAAATACAAAATAAAAAATAAAAAGTAAAACCTCTATTAGGGACTAACGAAAAAATTTAGCTTGCTTCATATACAATTCCCACGTACCTACTAGAAGTTATTTCCTATATCCCACCTTGCAAGTACGAATCTTTCCCTTACATGTGTTCCGCTTTCTTTACAGTGCCTACTGTGAATGTTTCTAGGTATTATTTTACCGAAACTTACATGGGTTACATTTTTTGTCTTTTAGAGAAAGATGGTAAAAACTATTTTTTCACTGCATTTCCAGTGCTAAACAAGTTTCATTTTGATACTCAGGTCTACCTTCAAATGTAGCCATAAGAGGATTTAAAACCAGGCTACTTGGAATTATAACTCCAAACTCTTCCTAGTTACTGAAATTTCAATTAATACACAGTTCAAAATCTCATATTTTTCTAAGCATTTTTATATGTGTGTGTACTGAATTAAAAACCAAAGTCACTAATATGTTCAACATTATTATTGAATAAATAAGCAAGCCTTCCCTGTATTGGGAAGAAAGTTCTCTAGGAAGACAGAAGTAATTCCCAGAGAAGCCAGATTATAGTAAACAGGAAGATCAAACAGCCTGGGAATGGCTTGGGGCAAGGGAGGCATTATTTTTACAAATATTTCAATATAATAACATTACTAACCCCAAGTTTCCTCTAAATCACGTTTACCTCCTCCTGAACTGATTTTTCTTAGATCTACTAACTACAGAGTTTTAGGAGCCCTGCATGGCACCAGAGTTTACTCCTCTAATGGAAAGCAGAATGTGAATTTATTGGGAGAATAATGAGTTTAAAATAATGATTCCCAGTCCAATCCAACAATGGACTTCATCAGGAAATCTAATGCATTCTTGAAAGTAGACTCTGCAAATCCCTTGACTACTGGTCAGGTTCTCACCCTGACTGCTTCCCACACTGACCTATCATCCCAAACACCCATGTAAGAATAATTCAGGGCTCCATAGACCATGTATTGATTTAAATGAAAAACTGCTTCCCAGAGGCAATTTTACTTCTAATTAATTTTACATCATATTCTTTACATTTTTATCTTAAGGTCAGCAGACAATCTTAATTTCTGTGTAAATTTCAAGACCTCTAGCAACGTGATAGGTAATGGTTAAAATCTAATTGTTTTGCTGATGAAAATTACCTGCTGCTCCCTACTTATTTAAGAAATAAACTATAAGGCAGGTGAGGCTTTCTATTACCCACTAAAGTGAATGAGTATTATATTGCTTGAATCCTCCTCATCCCTATATGAAGTCAGTCTTAAAAGATAAAAGTGAAGGGCTGGCGGATGGGGAGCCAACACACACATAATAGTAGATACACTGGTGAAGAAAAAAAGGGAATAAAATAACACTGATTAGTGCAATTTTTTTTTTTTTTTTTTTTTTTTGAGACGGAGTTT